AATAAACTCAATTTTTCGATTTTATTTTAAAGATTATTATAATACAGTTTAATCAAATTTAGTTTAAATTTAAATTTATTTTTTAACATTGACAAAGACTTTCCATGATAAAAATCACTAAAAATTACTTTATAACCCTAAAAAATTTCAAAATTGATATAGAAATTGTCACTTATCATCAACATTTCAAAAATTTCGGAACTAGGAGCTGTTTGTAATTCAATAGGGATAAAAGTAAATTATCTCTTCTATATATATATATACAAAGGTGGGCAGAAAAGCGTTAATCCGTTAATCGTTAATTAACTCCGTTAATTTTTTTGTTAACGATTTAACTTTTAAGTTAATTTTAAAAACAGTTAACGGACATGTTAACTTCTGTTACATTTCTCTTTCGTTAACTAAGGTCCGTTAAATTTCTTTTTTTTAAATTTTTAATTACCCTACTAAAAATAAAGTCACAAAGCGACAGAAATTTAGTCAGAATCTCTGATGATTTTAAACTGCTTTTGTTATGATTGCAGCCACAGAACATCAGACTTAAGTCATGATTAATCAGAAAAATTCAAAAGTAGTCATGTTTTTTATACAAAGTCGACACCCTCTTTTACCTGGAAAAAGGTCAACTGACCGTCATAAAATTGAAGGGAAATCTTTTTATTTGGTTACGTTTATATTTATTTAAACATTATACTTGTTTTTCATCGACTTAGAATTCTAACGTTATGTTCTTATTATATTTATACAATATCCCGTGTAGAAATTTCCCTATATCCTTTAGAACTTAAATTCAAAACTGATATTCTTTTTTATTTATCAATTACGGTTTTTCTAAATGCGTTACAGTTTCCTTAAAAAATGTTTTTTATAATAAATTTTAGATATTTGTAATCGTGGAGATTTTTAGATTCTGAATTTATATTCATTTCACTTGAATGTTAAAATTGCAAAACTTTTAAGCAATAAAAATCAGGTTGGTGACCCCCGAAGCTCATAACAACAGATCCACGATTCTATTGTGAAAAAAGGGATACGCACAAATTTGAAGTTTTAACGGTACTTTACATTTACCCACTATATTTCGGTGGGGGCTAAAAATAAAAAAGATGAATTCAATGGGAAATAATCGCAATCCATAATAATCAGGATTCAACAGGAGCATAAAAAACTCTTTAGTCAGAATTTACCAAAAGCTTCAGAAAACGTCAAAGTAGTCACAAAACATGAAATTTTCTGACGTTTTCTTATTATTCTTGATTTTATTTTTAGCAGGATATCATAATAAAAATATTTTGTCGAAACTTTAGTTGTTTAGGAAAGGAAACATGTCTCTCCTAGATTTGATGTAAAAAAATAAAAATTAATGAAAAAGAACATTTTTTTGTACATTAGAATGCAATTACCAATTTTTTTTAATTTATGTTAACTTTAACGGTTAACGTTAACTTCCGTTAATTTTCTTGTTCGTAAACGGATTAACTATTAACGAAGTTAACTTTTTCACTTAACGAATTAACGATTAACGACGTTAATTTTTAAGTTAACGGTGCCCACCTTTGTATATATATATATATATATATATATATATGGGACATTCCACGTCAACACGGACAGAGCTCTAAACAAAAATTGCTTTGATGGATTTAAACGTTCTAGGGCTTAAAAGATTTCTACGTTCATGTACTTTAAGATGCCGATGGGCGTTTTTTGCAAAATTCCATTTCCGATGCCAATAGAACTGTCAAAAGTCAAAAGGTCCAAAAATCTCAAAATACTTTTATGAATTAAAAGCAAAAAACGAGGTAAATTATTCTGTAACTCATTCTTTATCAGTTTTTAGGGTTCCCGAATATCAATCTAAAGTTTTTTTTTTTAAAATCCAAAATGGCGAATTCAATATGGCGGACAAAATTCAAATTTGATCAGATTCGATGAAAACTTGTTACTCGGGGGTTTTTAGGGTCGCTGATTACGAATCTGATGTCACTTTTTAAAAATTCAAAATGGCGGATCCAATATGGCGGAAAAAATTATCAAATTTGATCCGATTTCCTTAAAACGTGTTACTCGGGGGCTTTTGGGGTCGCAGATTATGAATATGAAGTTACTTTGTGTTTGAGACTTCAAATTCATAATCAGATACGCTAAAAACCACCGAGTAACACTTTTTAATTAAATCTGATTGAATTAAAAAATTTGATCCGCCATTTTGAATTTCTAATTCAAAAATTTCTAATTTTTGGACCTTTTGACTTTTGACAGTTCTATTGGCATCGGAAATGGAATTTTGCAAAAAACGCCCATCGGCATCTTAAAGTACATGAACGTAGAAATCTTTTAAGCCCTAGAACGTTTAAATCCATCAAAGCAATTTTTGTTTAGAGCTCTGTCCGTGTTGACGTGGAATGTCCCATATATATATATATATATATATATATACTAGGGGGGCTTCGCCCCCCTGTGCGCCTCGCGCGCCAGCCCCCTATCTCTATTTTTATATTAATCTTAATTTTTATAAATTTAAAGTAATTTTTTCTTAATATCAATGCATCTTAATAAATTGCATACAATACATGACAAAATACACATAGATTTTGACGTAATGTAATAATCGTTATGGACCTTTTTATATATATGTCAAAAATTAGATTAAACTTTGAAATATATTTTGACCCATTTTAACCTATAGGTTAAAAAGGCGTCAAATTTTAAATAGATTTTGACGTATCATAGATACGTTTATTGTCCTTTATTGTCCCTTTTTAAGTTGTAGTTAAATAAAAGTCAATTTACACATAGATTATGACGTAACTAAATGAGGAAGTAAAAATAAAACGTCAAAATTAGGTCAAAATGATAGGTGTAAGAGCAAACACAATTTTAAAATTACCTTACATTGTTAGGTAAGATGCCAAACTTCACCTCATCATTAAGTCTGCGCGCGGAAATTGTTTGACAAATTTTGACGTCTATGTCAAAGCTGCCCTCAAACTTGACCTAAATTTTGAGGGTAGCGGGAATTCTTTGACAAATTTTGACGTCTATGTCAAAGCTGCCCTCAAACTTGTCCTAAATTTTGAGGGTAGCGGGAATTCTTTGGCAAATTTTGATGTGTAGGTCAAAACTGCCCTCAAAATTGACCTTAATTTTAAGGGTAGCGGGAATTCTTTGTCAAATTTTGACGTCTGGGTCAAAACTGACCTCAAAATTGACCTAAATTTTGAGGGTAGTGGAAATTGTTTGTCAATTTTTGATGGGTAGGTCAAAATTGCCCTTAAAATTGACCTAAATTTTGAGGGTAGCGGAAATTGTTTGTCAAATTTTGACGTCTAGGTCAACACTGCCCTCAAAATTGACCTAAATTTTGAGGGTACCGGAAATTCTTTGTCAAATTTTGACGCCTAGGTCAAATTTCTTGAACTAACATTCGAAATTTTTGAAAATTTGATGATAAACGACAATTTTTACATCTATTTTGGAATTTTTTGGGGTGCTAAAGTATTTTTCAGCGCTCTTTATCATGGAACATCTTCTTCGATGTTAAAAGAGAGATTTAAAGTCCAACTGAAATTTGTACGCGTTAATTTATTTAAACAGATTCAATAAAAATTTTTAAAAATCGAAAAATTGCGATTATACAAAATTTTATCGACTGATTATTATATTTTTGGTCTTAAAATAATCGTATGGCTTTACTGAAACGATACCAGAAAAATAATTGTATGGGTAAGAACTTTTTGGTTGAACTTAGTCGAAGCTCACCGTATGTATTCTTTACATTAATAGATTCGTTCTCGTGACAGGAATATAATTTTCGCAACAAAAATTTTTTTTAGATATTTTTAAAAATCCTTCCGTCTAATTTTAGATATTCGTGACCGCGATACACCTACAAAATTATAGCAAAATCCGTCAAAACATGAAAGGGGTCATTCACATATTACGTGATATCCCAGTAAAAAAGGCAGAATTGGCAGTGAGCGAATAGAATTGGCGGTGAGTTTCTGGCAGTACGTTTTCGAGTAAAAACCGTATTGGGTGCATTCTGCTAATCCTGTCCTCTGGAACCTTTCGATTTCACGTTTATTGATCGATTCGACTGTGTACTGTTGATCTATTACCATATGATTTGGGGAGCTTTCGACGTTAGCGCTGTGAGTATAAGTCACAGCGCTAACATAAAAAATATCCTAAATCATATGGTAATAGACCAACAGTTTGTCAAATTTAATTTATTTACATTTTAACAAAATTTCATATTTCCAGTTCGTTATCAGCATTTTTACACTTTAAAACAATCAGTCTTTTTGATTAAAATGCCAAATCGAGTCAATAAACGTGAAATTGAAAGATTCAAGAGGACAGAATTGACGATGAGAAAGCAGGATTGTCAGAATGCACCCAATACGGTTTTAACTCGAAAACGTATCGCCAGAAACTCACCGCCAATTCTATTCGCTCACTGCCAATTCTGACTTTTTTACTGGGATATTTAAGGGTGGGAGGGGGGTAAGCAAAGTATCACGCTTTAACAAATTTTCTATACTAAACTATAAAAAAAAGTATCACACAGGGGGGAGGGGTCTAAAATACCTAAAATATCTATCACGTAATATGTGAATGACCCACAGAGAAAATTTCCACATTTGTTTCTCTTGATGAAATATATTTTGAGGAAGCAGTAAAACATACTTGAAAATTTGTAAAAATAATTGATTCTAAGAAATTCAAGAATCGACATCTTTATAAAGCTTCCTTTGAGGAAGCAAACTGAGAGAATATACCTAAATAAAGATTAACATAATAATATAATAATCTTATCAAGTACACTAATGTGTCACTTATTTTATCGAAGAAAGCTTTGTTTTTAATATTATTATCATTTTTGTTCACGAAAATAGTAAAAAGAGAGTAACGTTATTTCTTAAGAAGAAGTAAAAATTATGCATTTATTACAGAATTTAATAATAAATCATTTATTTTACAAAATATATCACACTAGACTATAATCACTCCGCTATACAATACTTAAAATAAGTTAGAAGTTCGATTTTCTTCCATAAATAACATTTCATCATAGACAATATAATCTTCAATTTTGAATAATATTATTATTATTTAAAAAAAATTATAGCGCTTCGATGAAATTACAATACTTTTTATAATTACATTTATTACAAGTAAATTTGCAATAGTTTCATGGATTATTTTAATATAAATTTTGAAAATTATAATCCAGAGACTATTGCAAAATTTACACTTTATTTTACAAAATTGCAGTAAAATATTTATTGATAAATTACTCATTCTTGGTAGAAGTTCACTGAGCACCAAACACCTAACATTGAGCATTATTATTTCACTTCCATTTGTAATATTCTGAAAATTTCTTAAACATTTCAAGCGCCTATTTTTTATGATTAATTCAATTATTAAGAAAGTACCTACATTAAGTATTTTTTTATAGTAATTGAATGTAATGAAATTGATTGTACGTCACACAGGTTAAAAATAATTACCTTATTACACCGGTATAAAGGACTTCTCCTTTCATGTAAACATAATGCGACATTGATAAATACATAAAAAATTATTTCTCATAACATATGAATGGAAAACGTTACATTCCATACACAAAAATTATTAAGCAAGTGTATAATTTCTAAACAGTGGCGAAAAGTTTTATTATGTTCTCGCACAGCATTTCTTCATGGTAGAGTTTGCTTCATGTATTACTTTCTTGTATATTTAATATTTCTAATCGAGTTTTTTAATTAAGTGGTTTAATATGCTTAAACCCCCTCTGCTACGCTTCAAACTTCTATAATTATTCGATACCATATCGATTTTAGTGATCCACTTCGTGTCTCGAAAAACCGAGAATCTCACGAGAAAAACAATAATTGAATGTTATACTTATTTTCATCGCTTTTCTTTCATTAAAGGACTGACTCTCGTCATGCATCCTTAATCGGTTTTCGTTTCCATGCATTCGTTGCAAAAATATGCGGTACGCATAAGGAAAGAGCTTTTTCTTTGTGGACAATTTACAAAACAAGCTTTCATCTTGCTCTGGCACCTTAATTGACATGACGATGGCTGGTATAGGTAAGATCTCACTCGGAAAAAATTATTATTTTTAAAATTTTATCGCAATGTACAATTTTAAAATAGTGAATCTTATAAGGAAATCCTTTATAACTTGTGTAACGTGAGGTTACTACAACTGCTGTTAAATTTAAATTGAAGTAAATCATATTATTTAAACTTATTAAATTGGATAAATTAAATTTGAGTAATCGAATTAAATTAATTTAAATTAAGTTATTTAATTGAGGTAATTAACTTATTTTGTTCTGATTCATTGTTAGTTTTCTTAAAATATTTTTTATACTTTTTGTTCCTATGTTTTGATCATTTTGTGATAATTGCTTTCTTAATGCTTTATTTTCTCGAAAAATGAAGACATTACAATATTTTTAGAAAAGTTTGTACAGCAAATTTTTCATGAAATCTTTAGGAAAAATTATAAATTTTATATTTTAAACTTTTTGAAAAATATTGTACTATCTTTGAAGAAATATCACTGGAGATTTTATATATATATATACATACATATATATTAAAATATCTAACGCAACCAATGGAGCTAAAACTATGATTTTCATACTCTAAATTAAATAAATTTCAATCAATATCACTTTCACTTAAGAGAAAAACGGTCTCGTTCCGTTTCCCACGAAGGACTGTAGTTGTTTAGCTGCACCCTGCAAAAAGTAAAATTAATATTATTATACTATAACCAACATAAAATTACATTTATTGATTAAAACAGTTTAAAAATGACGTTTTTGGTAAACAGGTGTGACACAAAGTAGCGATACAACCACTGGTGCCTGCAAGCACTGGTTCAATTCCTCCAGCCTTAAAAAATCTATGCAGATCCATTCTTATTACGTTCACTATATTTTTTGTATTATTCAATAAATATTTATTATATTTAGATTATTTTTCAATTTTTTTTTGTTACAAATAAATCTGTATACTTCTATCTATTATGTATTAGTAAACGCAGTCGTCTACATACAACTTAGATAATATCTAACGCTTGCTGGAATCGAACTTTCAACCAAACGCACCGGAGTCTTATACGCTGACCACTCTGTCACACTTATATGGAATTATATAAAAGTAAATGTATTTAAAAGCTGCGACCGTCTGTTTATGACATTTTTGATATTATAATTACCATAATGGCACCGCCGAGAAATTGACTGAAAGCTCTGGTAACACCAATGGCAGCATTTACAACTTGACTTCGAACGTTATCATTTGAAGTAGAATCGCCTCTGAACGAATCTGAAGATCCCGCAAAATTAAATCCACCAAATAATGGTGGCGGATATGTTGAGGACGGTTTCCACGTTGGAGCCGCAGGCCTTGATCTCGTGGTGGTTTTCATGGTGATGGTGGTGGTAGGTGCCGTGGTGGTTGAAATTTGTGCGTCTCTATGTTTTTCAAGGCCCTAATAACAATTTAAATTTAATAAAGTCTTCTGTTTTGTGTACCTTTAACCCAGTGAGAAATACTTATATACTTCAGATTGGAATTTACATACATTTATTTACAACTTATTATTGATATAAATGATTATGATTTTCATGTAATTTTAATAAATATAGGTATAAAGTAATATTATTATTTTAATAATAAAATAATTTTTATTATATGTTTTATCTATATGGTGCTAATGTGTTGCCAAAATAAAAAATCGATGATTGTCGAACCCGTTAATATCCCAAGCATTTAGCAATATTGATGGCCATTACACAGAACCACAAAATTTTTCTTAAAGGATGTATTGATTAGACCATGTTTCTTAAATGTTTTTTGGGTCGCTGAATTCGAATCCTAACTCAGTTTTCCGTCATCATGACCAGTTTCTTCAAAATGGCGGATCTAGTATGGCTGTCGAATTTTTTAAAATGAATCAGATTTACTACAAAATTGTTACTCGGGGGTTTTTGGGGTCGCTGAATACGTATTTTACCTTAGTTTCTCAAAATTCAAAATAGAGGATCCAGTATGGTTGACGAATTTTTTAAAAATTTATCAGATTCACTTGAAACTTGTTACTTAGGGGTTTTTGGGATCGCTGAATACGAATTTCACCTTAATTTAAAAAATTCAAAATAGCGGATCCAATATGACTAACGAATTTTTAAAAATTTATCAGATTTTGAATTTTTGAAAACTAAGGTAAAATTTGTATTCAGCGACCCCAAAAACCCCCGAGTATAACGTTTCAGGTAAATCCAATAAATTTTTTAAAAATTGGTCAGCCATATTGGATCCGCCATTTTGGATTCTTAAAAACTAAGGTGAAATTCGTATTTAGCAAAATACGAATTAAATAACCCCCGAGTAACAAGTTTCAGGCGAACTAGGTGAATTTTAACAAAATTGACTCCATATTGGATCCGCCATCTTAAATTTTTAATATTCACGAGTTTCTTTGATTGTTTAACATAATATAATATTTTTTATCCTACATGTACAAAAATGGCGCTTTTAGATAGCTGACGACAGGGAGTAAAGTCACTCATTTGTTCGACCATATGAAAATGGCGTCCATTCTCTCCCATGTGCAAACATAACCGCTGATCCCATGCGCTATTTTTGCCCAAGGGAGAAAACGGCCGCCATTTTCATATAAGTCGAACAAGTAACTGACTTTTATTCCCTGTCGTCTGCTATCTGAAATCGCCACTTTTGTGCATTACACGGAGAGACCCACATTTGTAAAAATTACTAAAAATGGTTGCAATGACCGGAAACAAGGGGACTTTTAGCATAATGTACTACAGAATTAGATAAAATTTGTTACATTGAAATAGCAAGTTTTAATATTTTGTGTAAGAGTTGGGTCAAATCATACCTAACAAATCAAAGTTGTCCCTCAGTTCTCCGATTTTTGTGAAACTTTGAGAAATTGTAAAGGAATATATGCAAATAAAAATTCCAAAAAGATTTTCGAAAATTTAAAAAATTTGTGGTTGTTCAGGGTTTTTAATTTTTTTTTTTGAAATTTTGAAAACGCAATATCTCAGAGACATATGGATGGATTTTAATGATTTTTTCAGGGATAACTTATTATTTACAAACAATTAAAATGAAAAAAATTACAAAAAAAATTTTTTTTGTTTTAAATAAAAAATTTAAAAAATATTGTTTAAACAAATTTTTTGTTTATAAGCGTATCTTTAATTTTATTCTTATAGCGATATTTTGATTCCTTAGGATTTCACGAGTATTTTGACATAAAGAAATCGATGGAGACTCTTAAACTTTCGGAGATATTGTATTTTTTGTCTTTGCGCGCAGGGCCAAAAAGCGCACTGAAGCAAAGGCTCTGTGTACAAGGTAATGGTCAAAATTACCTAATACTTGCTTAAATTTCAAACGAATTGAATTCTTTCTTTTTTAAATCAATTAGTAACATTTTATTAATAAATAAATAATAAATGAATAATATTTAAACAATAAATAATTAGATAAAAAATAAAACTCGTAAATTTCAATCGAATTAAATTCTATCTTTTTTAAATCAATTAGTAATATTTTATGAATAAATAAATAATAAGTTTTTAATAAATAAACAAATAATTTGTCTGCGTAAAATAAAATAAACAAATTAATGTAAATTAAAAAACAGTTCCGAGTAGATTATTTGACTACTTTTTAACTACTCTGATTTGTTCAACAAGCCCTACATTAAATTAAAAAACCTGTTTTAATCATCAAAAAGAATTTAATTAAATCAGATAAATAAAAAAGTAATATATAATGGAAAAGTAACATTTTATTCGTTTACATAAAGCGAAGACCTAGTTCGCAAATCGAGTAATTCTTTATATGAAGAGCGCGCATGCGTAGACTCGACTCGGATAACTTCGTTCAGTCTCGTAACGCGACTGCGCGTCTGGAAGAGTGGATTTGTCAAAGAGGGGGTTCTAAGAGTCTCATTTCTAAATCAGCATTCGTTCGAGCACCCTCAATGTTTGTAGCAAGTAATAATTGTAGAACTAGGTCTTTTTAATAGTCTTTTTCATAGTTTCAGGTTTTATTGCATGTTTTTCAGTGTCATTTTTGTGGTTTAAGGTTTGTTTGTTTGATTTGAGTTTTCTGTTTTTTTAGGTTTAAGTAAATGTAAATAAGTTTCTTTGCGTTTCTTTTTAATTTTTTCCTTAGGTTTGAATTTATAATTTCTTTTTAACTACGAAAAAGACTATTAAAAACACCTAGTTCTACAATTATCACTTGTTACAAACATAGAGGGAGCTCGAACGAATGCTGATTTAAAAATGAGACTCTTAGAAACCCATCTTTGACAAATCTACTCTTCCAGACGCGCAATCGCGTCACGAGACTAAACGAATTTATCCGAGTCGAGTCTACGCATGCGCATTCTTCATATAAAGAATTATTCGATTCGCGAACTAGGTCTTCGCTTTATGTAAACGAATAAAATGTTACTTTTCCATCATATATTACTTTTTTATTTTTCTATTTATCTGATTTATTTTAACTACTTTTTGATGTTTGAAACCGGTTTTTTAATTTAATGTAGGACTTGTTGAACAAATCAGAGTAGTTAAAAAGTAGTCAAATAATCTGCTAGGAACTGTTTTTTAATTTACATTAATTTGTTTATTTTATTTTACACAGACAAATTATTTGTTTATTTATTACTAACTTATTATTTATTTATTTATAAAATATTACTAATTGATTTAAAAAAGAAAGAATTCAATTCGATTGAAATTTACGAGTTTTATTTTTTATTTAATTATTTAATTATTTATTATTTAAATATTATTCATTTATTATTTATTTATTAATAAAATGTTACTAATTGATTTAAAAAAGAAAGAATTTAATTTGTTTGAAATTTACGCGAGTATTAGGTAATTTTGACCGTTACCTTGTACACAGAGCCTTTGCTTCAGTGCGCTTTTTGGCCCTGCGCGCAAAGACAAAAAATACAATATCTCCGAAAGTTTAAGAGTCTCCATCGATTTCTTTATGTCAAAATACTCGTGAAATCCTAAGGAATCAAAATATGGCTATAAGAATAAAATTAAAGATACGCTTATAAACAAAAAATTTGTTTAAACAATATTTTTTAAATTTTTTATTTAAAACAAAAAAAAATTTTTTTGCAATTTTTTTCATTTTAATTGTTTGTAAATAATAAGTAATCCCTAAAAAAATCATTAAAATCCATCCATATGTCTCTGAGATATTGCGTTTTCAAAATTTCAAAAATAAAATTAAAAACCCTGAACAACCACAAATTTTTTAAATTTTCGAAAATCTTTTTTGGGATTTTTATTTGCATATATTCCTTTACAATTTCTCAAAGTTTCACAAAAATCGGAGAACTGAGGGACAACTTTGATTTGTTAGGTATGATTTGACCCAGTTGTAAATGTAGCGAAAATTGATTATAGTTTTCTCAAATTTAATTAGACAAAATCTGACAAATGAAAACATTTTCCACTAAAACCTACTATCCACTGTAGTAATTTTTGGTGAGTAAGTGTGGCTAGCGAGTGCAGTCATATGGCGCCTGCATTTCTATTGGTTGCTAACTTCGTCAATCTCCGTAAATGAGCCGATGCCATCCGATCATTGACAGTGACTATGTTTCGCGTATGTAACATAAATTTGGATATTATCCACAATAATTAAATATAAAGTGAAAAGTAGGTCGTTCGGTATCTCAGAAATTGACCATTATAAATTAATAAACTTTGCATTTATTCCTGTCCCAAGAACTATGTCTTATAATAAATTGTTAAAAGTAAACTGCTTTCTCGTAACTGCTGTAAATTTTCATCATTCAATATATAAGGAAACAAAGATGTATACTTTCAGTGAAATTCGTTGTCGTGCGTGCAGTTGTGTATTAGTGTATTAATTAACCGCGTCTATACATATAAGTGAAATAAACATGTGTGTGTCTTCAAATATTCATCCAACAAATATATAAGTGTGTGTGTGTCTGTGTATGTAAAAATCCTTCCAGTTTACCTCCATTAGTCAAGAATTGACGGGAAACCAGCGACAAAAATCCATATTTTTTCTTTCACTCCTTCTTTCTAGATTCACAAACGACTATAGTAATTTTACGTACACAATACTTCTGAGTTTACTACAGTTGTTTGGAACTATTGGACGAAATAGTAAGAAACTTTGCTAATTTGGTAAACATTTGTCGGATTAGTGACTTACTGTAGAAAATAGTAAAAAATACAAACAGTCTCCTTATTTCCGGTGGTTGCAATGTGAAAATAGTAAATTCTAGTGTGATTTAATACAAAAATTAGTAATCTCGGTCTCTCCGTGTAGGAATAAAAAATATCGTAAGTAACATGGGAATAAAGGCAGCCAATTTGTTTACGATGATTTTTGTGACACGAGTGGAGCTCGAGGGCGCCCTCGACCTCCACTCGTGTCACGAAAATCACCGTAAACAAATGTCTGCCTTTATACCCTTGTTGCTTAATATACTATTTTCAGTGTGTTAAAGTTGTTTTTCATCCCACATGCACAAAAATGGCACTTTTAGATAGCTGACGACAGGAAGTAAAGTCACTCATTTGTTCGACCGTATCAAAATGGCGACCATTTTCTCCCATGTGCAAAAGTGACAGCTGATCCCATGCGTTATTTTTGCCCAAGGGAGAAAACGGCCGCCATTTTCATACAAGTCGAACAAGCGAATGACTTTTACTCCCTGTCGTCTGCTATCTGAAATCGCCACTTTTGTGCATTAGGAATAAAAAATATCGTAAGTAACATAGGAATAAAGGCAGCCAATTTGTTTACGATGATTTTTGTGACACGAGTGGAGGTCAAATGGCTGCCTTTATACACTTCTTGCTTAATATACTAATTTAATAGATTCTTCTGCTTATTATTATTTATATCTTATTTACAGTCATTTTTTGCTAATTTTATTAATTTGTGAAGAAGCTTGACGTTATGGCGGAAAACTGAGTTCGGATTCGAATTTAGCGACCCAAAAAACATACTAAAAAACAGGTTTCAGTCAATACTTTCTTTAAAAAAATTTTGTGGTCCTGTGTTATTGGACCGTTTTTATTTTTTTTTTTTATTTATTTTTATTTTGGTTCTCGATATTGGACAGTTAGAAAACAACTCACTGGAGAGTTTCTTACCTAAAAATATTTGAATTACAGAAACCTTTTCAAATTTTTTATTAAGTCCCAGTGGCACAGGGACGTCTTAAAGACATCTCTTATTGTCGGTCGACATCCGGGGACAATGATGGTAATGTTCCGGATACATCATAAAGACAACTAAAAGACGTCTATAAGACATTCTATGTCTGGTCCAAAAAATGTTCAAATGAGGTTTAAAAGAAATCCAAAAGGACGTTTAAAGTACGTCTTAACGACGCAAAAAAGAAGACTTTTATACACTACCTACCAAAACTGAATGGCCACCCCTATTTATATTGAAGTGTAAAAAGTGAGTACAAAATAAAAAAAATAAAAATGTTCTCTATTTTTTTCATAAAAGCTAATAAAATTATGAAAAAAAGACATCTAATAGAAGATGTTACGTCAAGTTTTCTGTTACAGAGCAATTCCATGGTAAGAGATCATGGAAATTTCCTTCTAGTATGAGATTTAGATGAAACAGTGATATATTGTTCTCTTGAATTCAACTAAAAAAATAGTGAAACTTGTTTGGAAAAATGTTCATAATTAATTTTTTATGGTGGTAGTATATACTTACCTCTAAGTGCTCTGTGAGTTTTAAAATGAAATCTGCATAAAATTCCGAGAAATAAATATAAATGTACAATGCTGTAGGTCAAATTTTTAGTTTTATATGATGCGAAAATGGCTCAATTTCAAGATGTTACAGATGCTTTTTTGTTTCATGTGATTATAGAAATGTGATCCACAGTATTATACATTTTTATTTATTTCTCAAAATTTTATGCAGATTCTATTTTAAAACTCACAGAGCACTTAGAGGTAAGTATATACTACCACCACAAACAAATTAACCAAAAGAAAATTGGAGTTATTTAAAAATCAAAAATAAACATTTCTTTCTTTAATATCAACAAAATATATACCATTGAATACATATATATATTATCAATGCTACCTGGACAAAAAGTCAAAACCAAAAAGTCCTAAGTCAATGAAGTCCAAAAAAAATTTGTTTATGTTGGATTTTTTGGATTGGATTTTATGTCTTGGTCAAAATGTCCAAAGTAAAAAATCAGAAATTAAACAAATTCAAAAAAATAAGCAATGTGAAATTGTCATTTTCATTTATGCATTTGTCTTTTTTTTAATCTTTTGTGAATTTCTCTTGCGTCGTTCACATTCATTTAAAATTTTCAAAATTATAAAGTTAAAAGTCATTTTTATCGTTATATATTCATATTAAATTGTGAAAATTATAAAATATAAAGTTTGAATTTGCAACGTGTTTAAAGCACAATGTCTTTACAAGAATTAGAAATTATTGTGAAAGGTCGAAACACTTATAGACATTTTGAAGGTTTCCTTTATGTTGGATCTTATGCTAGCGAGGTGATGTAAAATATTGGAAGTGCAAAAATAGTAAAACTTGTGCAGCATTCTTAAATGCGTTTACGATCTTACTTGTTAATGAAATATATTTAGCTTAGAAAAATTTTAAAACTGAAATTTTTTTGGAAAATATGTCATTAACACGTCTTTTGAACAAGTGTGCCCACTTAGGGGTTTCCAGATATCTTTCATATCTCTTATTCAACCTGTTGTGGGAAAAACAACACTTGATTTTTAAAAGTATTATACATTATACATTGTAATTTAGTTATAGATTACTGCTACGTTTTTTGTTGAATAACTATTATATCACAGGTGGCTGGAAAAAAAAGTTAACCTACGATGCCTCTTCAAGTGCTTGGTGTCATGTGATTCCTTAACATCTCCTGAGCCGAGAATAACTTGATCCAAAATCGTAGCTGTTCATTTGCGGAAGAATTGTTCTTTTAAGGGGGTTGATTCACAAAGTTACTAAAATATATCGCACCTCCACAATATGCATCATGTACTTTTGAACGGTATACTCTACCGCCATGTACTTTGGTGCCCTAAAAACGAATCTAAAGTCCGTTTTAATTCATCACCTCAGGATTTTTTCCTAACCTCAAGAAATATATTACTTTATTAAGTAATATTAATATATTAATATGTGTCGCACATATTTCTTTAGATATTGAGAGTTGTGGCGTAACTGATTACGATTTTGAAATCTGATTCCAAAGTTCAAGATATCAGTTGTAAAATGAATAACTTTTCTTCAATATTATAGTAGTGTATTTATTAGTAGTATATATTATTCTTTTAATATTATATTAGTGCACTTTTCTTCAAAATATTTGTGAAGCAATTATTTGAAAGGTACGTCTCTTGGAATTATACCTATTTTGAGCACCCAGCAAAAGAATTATGTTAATCCTCTAATTAATAACAGAGGGTTAATCTAAAAAGTCCAATATCAAATCATATTATTATCATTTCCCAATTTTCTTTTCTGAAATTCCCATAAAATTCTCAACAATTGTTTTAAAACTAAGCTATGTGGTTTTCTCAGATTTACTCATTTAAGTGATAAATATTTTCATTTTTCGTTATTTTGAAGTCGTATTACTCCTTTCGATATATTATCTGATTGACGCAGTCCAACAACGCGCATAGTCGGTGCACTGCAGAAGTAAATGTTTAATTTGACTAGTTAAAAGTTCTTATCCCACGTTTTGATCTACACATTTTTTTAGGAAAAAACCTCATCTTTATGAAAACAGTTTTTTTTAAATAAAAATGTCTATTTATTGAAAAAATGAAATTTTATTTGTTAATTGAATTTTTCAAGGTTAAAACTTTTTTTATTTTAATGTTTATACTATTAGAAAGTGCATAAAACAGCTAAAAATCCAGAATAGAAAACTTCTTTTTCTTTTGTTTTAAATAAACTACAAATTTTTCAAATATTCCATGTAAGACAAAAAGTTTAAACTTTGACCCACTCTAGTTTTTACATTTGTTTAAATAAATTAATAATATTTGGTATTTTTAATTTTATCTAATAGGACTACTGTTTGTGTAAACTTTCAACCTGATCCCAAACATTTCAAATTTGTACCCGGATCACTTGACGTGGAATGCCACATTTATATTTACAAAAAGCTATATATATAAACTTACAGCGGAGAAAAGTTGTTCTCTCAGTTGGTTAGGTGGACTGTAAGGTCCGATACCCTCATCTTTGAGCAATGCAGCCAATAATGCAGCATCGCTTTTAACATTTTCTCCCTTAGAAGATGGTTGAACACTCGCCTGACCGTTCAAAATTGCCCTCAAGAATGCTTCATCGTCCTTAGAAACTTCCCCCATTGGAGAAAGGGTCGATGATCCTGAATATTTAATGAATTATTATTATACATTTAGCAAATATTAATTGTTAAAACACTAAATATACTTGATTGTAAATTTCATATTTTACATTTGAAACTAATTAAAGTTGAAATATTTTATTCGAACTGTATATCTCTTTATACGACGATATTGAATGATTCATATTATAAATATTATCCAGAATTAAAATAATTACCTTCTGTTTCAGAATATTATACATATTCATTTCATATTTATGTTTAACAAATTTTCATATTATTAAATTAGAAGCTAATAAGAAATCCACTCACCCATACTTTGAGCTACATTCAAGAGAGACATCAAGAATTTGGCGTCTTCCTCGGGTGAAAAAGTGGAGCTTTGTGTTAATTTTAAATTCCCTTCATTAACTCCAACAGCTGAGCTACTTACAGCTTTCAAGTTTACGCTCGGTTGCTCCTTCGTGACCCTAACATGAGGGGTCACTTGAATAGCATCCTGAGTCGACAAGAGTACTTGACTATTCGAAGCCATATTTTTAGACGTCGGCTCAAACCTTTGGGTACTTGTGACAGGTATCGCAGTCGTTAATGGTCTGACTGGTTTTTTGTTTCGCATGGGTGCCGGTGTTGTTGGAGTTCCGAAAATGTTACCTCCAAAAAGTACCCTCAATAAATTCGATCCAAAACCCCACCGTGGAGCTGCCGTCGTTGTCCTCGGTCGAAAAGGTTTTGTTGTTATTTCCAATTGCCTTGTTGGACTTTTAATAGTTGTTGTTGAAATAGGAATTGTTGTAAATGTTAATCTAGGAATTATAGTAATTTTGCCAGTTGTAGTTGTTGTTCCTGTTGTTGTCGTTAATCTTGGTGTTGTAGGTTTTTCAGTTGTTGTTGTTGTTGTTGTTGTTGTCCTTTGAGTAGTTGTTGTTGTCGTCGTTGTTCGAGGAGTTGTCGTTGTTGTCGTTGTTCGAGGAGTTGTTGTGGTTGTTGTTGTCGTTGTTCGAGGAGTTGATGTTGTTGTTTTTGGAATCGAAGCAGCAGTGGTCTGTTGTTCATAAAGTGATCTTAAACTCGAGCTGACACCCACAATAGAATTAGGAGTTGAAATATGTATTTGATTAGCTGCAATGCCATTTAAAAGTGTTTTCCAGGGATTCACTATCACCGGACTTGTTGATGTAATGGGCTTCCAAGTGGCGGGATTCGACTTCTCAGTCGTTGAGCTTGGATATAGGTCAATTACTACTGGACCATATTCCGGATCAGGATCGGTTTCGATTAGTAGATTAGGGGAAGCATTCGATGGCTGAATTGCTTTTGGTGATCTCGTTGGTCCAGCCTTTCCAAGAGCCAAGGATAATATCTACATATCAAAATAACATTTTAACCATAATCTGTCAAGTATGTCATATACTGCGACATCTGATGATATATAATATATGTATACTAATTTCAAATAAAAAATCTACTTTATCAAATTTTTACATTTATTTTTCGACATTTTCATATTCGCTTGTTCAAATACAGCTATTTGTTGAGCGCTAAGTTTACACAATGCCTGATGGCAAACACTCAGTTAGAATCTCACTCCAATTAATTCTGTGGATATGAACTTGAGTTGCGCATATTGCTCGATATGTAATTTTAAGCAACACAAGAATTACTGAGTTGGTTTTAAACAATTTGTATAAAAGAATGTTAATTAAGCTATAACAATTATCTCTTAAATTAAAAAATAAAAAATATGAATGTAAGAATGTAAGAAAAATTTATTTTTAATGTATTATTCAAAATTTAATTTTTTTTATCTTTGATTTAATTCCGATGAGGATGAATGTATAAAAATAATTGAAAGATTATGATCAACTTTAGCGACTGACGTCACTATCGTTGTAGAGCTCAATGACAATATTGCATAAAATAACAATTGAGCACGAGGTGCAACCAATAACACATCTATGATAGTTCACAATCACCCACAACTCTTAGAAAATTGCGGAAAAAGAACAGTATGAAAAAATTGAATAAAAAAGCAAAATATTTCTTTAATTCGTTTTGAAAATGTGTATTAAATAAAATATTTGTGATAAAATACAACTGATAAAATCATTCAGGAAGGTTTTAAAGGCTTAATAAAATATTTGTGATAAAATAGAACTGATAAAATCATTTAGGAAGGTTTTAAAGGCTTTTAATTCCCCTCTTAATCGAAACACTATTATGCAAGTTGATGCCATGAATAAATAATTGATATACCTTTTGAGACAGACAATTTTTTTTGCATTGATGAATTTCAGTTATATCTAGTTCTTTTATTTCTGAATAATATAACTAGGCGTAATTAGGTTCACAGTTACGACCAGTTTGTGATTTTTAACTCTTTTATATTTGGGCAATTCCACGTGAGATTTAAGTCGACCTCTTAAAATCGGCCAAAAATATTTTTTTTCTATTCTGTATCGAAAAAAACAGATACGTATTTTTTTATTTATATTTAATTGTCCAAATTTTCGAGTTATGAATTTTCGAAATGTTGGACTTTTAATTGTAGACCTATATTCAGTAGCTTATAAGTCCGAAAATATTGAGTTTAGGAAAAAGTTGTCAAAGAATGAAAGTTTAAGTTTTCTTTAGACTTTTAAGAAATGTAAACAAAAAAATTTTTTTTTTAATTTTTTATTAAAAAAAAAAATTTTTTTATAAACAAATTAATTTTTTTTAACTTTGGGTCGGATTTTTTTTTATTTTCTTGTACCTTATAATATAGAGAAGATTTTCCAAAAAGTCCCGAAATGAGCCTGATGTGTTAAATGAGTTTTAAAATATTTTCAAAAATCACTTGCAAGCATCACAGTGGGATTTTTTTTACATTTAACTTTTTAAAACTGTTTACAGCGTAGACCCTTTTATTTAAAACAAAGAACACTCAAATATATTAAAAATTATACGCTGTAGATAGTTTTAAAAAGTTAAATGTAAAAAAAATCCCACTGTGATGCTTGCAAGTGATTTTTGAAAATGTTTTAAAACTCATTTAACACATCAGGCCCATTTCGGGACTTTTTGAAAAATCTTCTATATATTATAAGGTACAAAAAAATAAAAAAAAATCCGGCCCAAAGTTAAAAAAATTAATTTGTTTATAAAAAAAAATTTTTTTCAATAAAAAATTTTAAAAAAAAATTTTTTGATTACATTTCTTCAAAGTCGAAAGAAAACTAAAACTTTCATTCTTTGACAACTTTTTCCTAAACTTAATATTTTCGGACTTATAAGCTACTGAATATAGGTCTACAATTAAAAGTCCAAATTTTCGAAAATTCATAACTCGAAAATTTGGACAATTAAACATAAATAAAAAAATACGTATCTTTTTTTTCGATACAGAATAGAAAAAAAATATTTTTGCCCGATTTTAAGAGGTCGACTTAAATCTCACGTGGAATTGCCCATTTATATATTCAGTGCAAAAAAAACAAGGTCAAATCTTATGATTGAATTTCTTAACTATGGAGATGAAAGGAGATAAAATATTTTGGTCGAAGTTAAAAAATAGGTGGAGTCTATTTTTTAGTCTTGGTAATACATCAATCTTTTTTGATAAAATTGATTTTAATTATTATTTTATCTGATAGAATTGAAAAATTTAATAAAAGTAATTTTTTCCAAGGCAAAAAATTTTTTATTATTCAATAATTTATATTTTCTTCTTTTAATAGAATTGTTTTTCAGAGCATGTGGAACCAGCCAACTTCAATTAATGTATGTATTAATATTTCCACGGAATTTCTTAAAAGATATAAAATAAATTTTGACAAAACCTAAGGAAAATGGTATTTTATTTGTAGACGCATGGGTATCTATCTAGTTCATTTGAGGCTAAAAATGGCTTGAAAATATTATTTTTCATTAAATAAAAATTTTGATATTTTTAGAGAAAAAAAGACAATCGAATACAAATTAACATTAGTGAATAAATTTATATTTTTCTATTGTCAAAAAAATTATTATTTTTTGACAATTTTCGAGAAGAGAAGACAATCGAATACAAATTTTAATGTTTGAATAGAAATAAAGTAATAAATTTATTCATGTTTACATTCTCATCACATGAGAAGGTATTAGTTTTGGTCGAATTTCGACTTTTGCTAATTTTATAAAATCTTCACGTTTTGAGGTGCCCTGAACCAGAAAAACATGGTCCGGCATTTACGTCCGTCTGTAGGTCTGTATGTCCCTGTCTCTATCTGTCTGTAGACACAAAATCTTGTGCGCACGATAACTTTTGAAAAACTTATTGGATCGTTTCTAAATTCAACACACTTAAAGTTGGTCTAAAAATGAAGGCTAAGTTAGTTAGCCAGACATTTTCATTAAAAATTACATAACTACAGTACTTTCAAAATTTTGAAAATTCAATTTTTTCAAATTTCAAAATTTTTAACTTTATATAATTTACATTAGGAAAATACAAACAACTTTTCTCTACAACTCTTTTTCATAAAAACTCAAATTTTTTAAAAAAATTTTTTGGGTCAGACCAGGGGTGCTATTCTGTAACTTCACTTCACATTCACTTCACTTTCACTTCACTTTCACTTCACATTCACTTCACATTCACTTCACTTTCACTTCACATTCACTTCACATTCACTTCACATTCACTTCACATTCACTTCACATTCACTTCACATTCACTTCACATTCACTTCACTTTCACTTCACATTCACTTCACATTCACTTCACATTCACTTCACATTCACTTCACATTCACTTCACATTCACTTCACATTCACTTCAAATTCACTTCACATTCACTTCACATTCTCTCCACATTCACTTCACATTCACTTCACATTCACTCCACATTAACTTCACATTCACTTCACATTCACTTCACTTTTCACTTTCAATGCGAAGTGAATGCGAAGTGAATGTGGAGTGACAGTGAAGTGAATGTGAAGTGAATGTGAAGTGAATGTTGAGTGAAAGTGAAGTGAATGTGAAGTGAATGTGAAGTGAAAGTGAAGTGAATGTGAAGTGAATGTGAAGTGAAAGTGAAGTGAAGTGAAGTGAAAGTGAAGTGAATGTGAAGTGAAGTTACAGAATAGCACCCCAGGTCAACTGTGTTGAAATTTTTTATTGATTTTCTAAAATGTTAAAACTTTTATAAATATCAGTAGTTCACAACAAAACAAAATAACAGTTTTAACCTTTTTTTGAAATTTTTTTTTGCATTGGGAGCGATTACAAATGATGTCACGTTTTTGGGGGATGGGGAGGATCTCTAAAGGCGCACTCACAGCTAGTAGGCAGCATACAAATTTGAATTTACTGTCTCTTTCACTCTAATTGACTTTCTCTCTTACTCCAATTACTGCCTGCGCAGGCAGGCAGAGCTGTGAGTGCTCCATAAGGGTACATTTATACGACCTGCGGTCGGTAGAAAAAAAATTTACTGAAAAAGTCAAAATCGCGTTCACACTTCGCTTTTCCGATTTAACCCAGCGGGCACACTTCTCTTTTTGATAACTTCAAGTTATCGTTTTGAGTAGATGTTAACATTTTAATGCCTTTTAGTTATCGTGTGCCCCTTGGGAATGGAAAAACTGTTTTTAGCGGGAATTTAAAAATTTATATTTTATTAAAATGAATTAACACTGTTTTAAGTAAGAAAAATCAAGTTTTTATTAGATGAATATTGTTTTTTAATGATTTACAATAGGAAGATGAATTTTTTTGATAAATAATCATGTAAATAAATATTAATTAACTTTTGTTTTGAAAAGTTGTAAGCAACGTCACAGCTGTTGTTGATGCGGAATTTTGTGTAAAAAAAAAAATTTGTGTAAAAAAAATCTATTATGAACGTTACTCGTCTAAATTAAACAAAACCAAATAAAGATTTATTAGGGATTTAAATTATCAAACAATAAATTACAACTGCAAACTTTGTTTACAAAAAATTTACTTGCTTTCTGTTGAAAGGTTGTCATACTTTTATAGGTTATGTACACAATTACATCTACTACTTTTCGAAAAATAACTTATACTTATGTATATACAAATAATAAAATGCATATTAAATATCCCCATTAAACATTTTTATTTAAATTATATAAATATTATTTAATAATTTATCATTATACTTACAATTTCACACAAAATTCCGCATCAACAACAGCTGTGACGTTGCTTACAACTTTTCAAAACAAAAGTTAATTAATATTTATTTACATGGTTATTTATCAAGAAAATTTATCTTCCTATTGTAAATCATTAAAAAACAATATTCATCTAATAAAAACTTGATTTTTCTTACTTAAAACAGTGTTAATTCATTTTAATAAAATATAAATTTTTAAATTCCCGCTAGAAACAGTTTTTCCATTATATCGGAAAAGCGAAGTGTAACCCCGACTTTGACTTTTTCGGTAAATTTTTTTCTACCGACCGTCGTATAAATGTACCCTAATAAACGTGACACAATGTATTTTCACATGTGAAATTGCATGACAGGGTGGGAGGGGGGTCTTAAATCCCTAAAAACTGCTTAACATCATTTGTGAACGCTCCCATTAACAAAATATTACAACATTTTAAAAAAAAATTAATAAATCAAAAGCCGTTTACAATAAATTAATGAAACGTACAATAATTACACAAAATTGTCCACTCTTTTAAATGAAAGTATTTGCATGATTGTAAATTTAAAAATGCCATAATTTTAATAACAATTTTATAAACAATTTAAATTATTTATGTGTTCTGCCCTTCCAATTTGCAATCAAACTCATAGGAAGCGTACTCAGTAGTCTCTTCTTGAAGGCAATAGTTTGAACAAATAATTGTTATTTACAAATCACGTACACAGTGAACTTGATACTTGTATTTTTAAAATATTGTGGTTTTTTCAGCGAACCATATTTCTGCGAAGAAAATTAGTAATTAAAAATAATTTCACATTTTTCATCAGCAAGTCTAAAAATTTATATTTAAGTCCTCTTAATCTCGCAATCATCAGGAAACAAAAATATGTGATGAGAATGTAATCCTTAAAGTCGTAGTAACTTTTAAAAAAAGGTTTCATGAAACGTATAATAGGAATTTGTGCGCGAAGCAGGACGACCAATATTTAATTAGTATTCGATTGTCTTTTATTCTTGAAAAATATCAAACTTTTTATTTAATAAAAATAATATTTTCAAGTAAATTGTAGCCTTAAATGAACTAGATACCCATTCGAATGTAAATAAAATACCATTTTCCTTATATTTTGACAAAATTTATTTTATAATTTTTAAGAATAAATATAAGTTCATTAATAAATGACAGCGTATTAATCAAAATTTTAATTGTGTAAAACGGTAAAAAACAATTAAATGTTATTGTTTTCTTTTTTATGTTTTTTCTTTACTTCTACAAGAATGAATATCACGATTATAGATCTAATTAAATATTCAGATATTAATCTTAGTTAGATTAACTAATTTTATTCAAATGTTATTCTCACCTTATCGGCTAAAAGTTTTTCAACTTCAGTTAAAGTCTTTGGAGTTGTTCTTCCAAATCTCTGTGTATTTAACTGAAATAATTATTGTAATTTATGTAATTGAATGAGATTTTTTTGCAAACTTTTAAATATTTATTTGAACAGCATGTGACTGATTAGAAACTCAATGGTAATTTTTTCGACCACTTTTCTCTTTAAATATTTAATAAATTGAGCTGGAATTTTGTATGTCTAAAATATTATAAAAAGAAGGGTAGTGATGTGCAAAAGTTTTAATGATTCTAAAATAAATTATAATAAAACACTTTGAAATCGGTAAAGAAGAGAAATTGATTAGATGTGACCGTGAAAACAGATAATTTTAAAGAAATTAGACTTTTCTAAAAAATTTCAGCTCAATTGAGGGCCTGCATACAATAACAACCGCTGCGCTTGGTTGTAGGGGATAATACCAGCCAGGCAGCAGTGAGAGCCTCTGGGCCGTTCACTGCTACCTGACTGGTACTATCCACTACAACCAAGCGCAGCGGTTGTTATTGTATGCAGGCCCACAATTTATTAAATATTTAAAGAAAAAAGTGGTCTAAAAATTGCCATTGAGAACCTAGCAATCACATGCTGTTAAAAGATTAATTAACAATGCAAAATTTAGTAAGTCATCGAATAAAAGTACAGAAATAAATACCAACAAAACTATTTACCAGAGTATTGAGGAAAGCCAAATCATCATATGTTGTTCCAAACGGATTTTCTTTCACTCCAGATCCATCTAGGGTGTTAACTAATTTTAGATTAGCTGTTGTTGTTGTAATTAGAGGATCATTTGCAAGTGCAGTAGTTGGATTTGTTGGCATCGTTGTTGATGGAGGCGATGTAGATGATATTGTTGAGGAAGTCGAGGAAATTCCCGAAGATTTCGGCGCAAAAATTTGAGCATTTTGTGCATTAGCATCATCCTATGTAACAAGTGTTAACATTAGACTAAAAATTAAAATAATATTTTTAACGGTATGAAGGTGATTAAAAAATGTACAACAAACCAAAATATTTGACGCAACAGAGGCAGAAATGGGCGGAGAATTAGTTGTGATGCCGAAGATTTGATCCAAAGGATCCTTCCAGGCAAAGTTGGGTGCAACGGTAATTATACCTGATCCACTATTTGGTGACAAGTGAAACGATGGCAATTTTCCTGGCGAATTACCGGCACCTTGACTTGATGCAGTCTTACAGAAATGAAAAGCTCTATTAATTACAAAACATATAATTCAAGACAAATTTAAAAAAAGTATTTTCAAAACTGAGCTAATAAACCATAACCGTTGATGTTTCATGTTCCGAAAACTATTATTTCTTTCCATCAAATAATAACTTTCTAAATATCAATAATTCTTTTCGAAAAAATTAAATTATAATTATATTAATTAGTTATTGACTTTAAAATATAACCTGGACTAACAAGTAACAAGAGAATTATATAACGACTTACGGAAACGGAATTAATTTTAACATTAAGAACTTGAGGATTGGAGTTGGGTTGATTATTGATCCAGTAATTAATGAATTTATCCTGAAACGTCATAAAAAAGCAGATGATGTATAGGATTGAACGCAACTCTTAAATCATTGAACTCATTTTTCTCTCCTTGTCTTACCTGTCCAATGTACATGGAGTTGCGTTGACCTCCGGCCTCTCTCGTCCTGGTGGCCTCGTCCCTCTCTCGATCCTGAATAATCCGACCACCCTGCTGACTACCGTTCGAACCTACGACGACATTAGAATTCGAAGAACTCGAACTTGTTGCAGATGGCACTGAACTTGTTGCATTCGGTGCATTTATCACCTGCATATTTAATAAACAAACAAAAACGATTATTTAAAAAAAACTTCATTGTTTAATTTAAACAAAATTATTGAAAGAAATTAGTAGAAAATAAATATAATCTGCTTCTCACAGTATTTGTCTGACATTTAATTAATTTCGATAAAATAGCAAAAAAAACAAAATATAGATTATTTTTCTTTCAATTTTGTATTAAAAATAAAAATGACTTTTAAGAGCAAAATAAAATATTGTGAAAGTATGAAATTTTATTCAAAATATTGTAAACATATCTTAAAACAAAATAGAAAATATTGAAGTAAACATGAATATGTACAAATATCGAAATATGATAAAGTAAAACATACTAACTACATTTTTAGTGCTTTTGTGATTTTATACAATGTGCGATGATGTGTAAAATCTTTTCAATTCTTCAGTTTACGTTCAAACAATTATACGTGTCAAATGTACACATTATCAGGAGGCCTTATTTACAAACAAATCATTTACAAGAAGAAAAATTTACAAGAACATAAAATAGACTAGTTTTGTTTAATAATCAGTGATGAAAAAATCATGTTTCGATATTTTCTATATCTTTAAAGATGAAACATTAAATGTTAAAGGAAAGAAATTTGAGATTCAGGCCCAAAGGTACATAGGTAGGTAAAAGTATTTTTCTCTTAAACTTAGAGAACGAAAAACAGTTGCAAGATTAAAAGCTATATTAAGAAAAGAATATTAATCACTTATTAAAAACAGATAACTAAAAAAATGAGATGAACATACGAAAAATATGAAAGCAATATTAATCTAACAGACAATTATTGAAATGTTTATTAGTACCAATTATTATTTATAATTCTAACAGTTTTATAATAAACGAATAACACAATGGAAAAAAAATTTAAATATCACAGAAGCACAGAGATTATGCTGTTTTCTTGAAAAATGTTGAGTATGTCTTTTAGTGTATAATTTTATGAAGAAATAATATAAAAATAATATATGGCCTCCCTATAGACAAGGACATGCTCTACATTGTCTGCGAATTTAAAATGTAAACGATTTAAAACTTCTTTTTCACTGTGTAGCACAAGAATAAAGAAAAACAAGATGCATTGCATCAACGTATTATAGATGGTATAAAAGATCTAAAAGAGGATGTTAAAAAATAGGTCGATTTTTGCCCCGAACCGAGAAGTAAATTTCAGGTGAATCCTTATACATTTTGAGCCCAGGAATCGAGTAGTAACCTTCATTTCCCCCCATACCCTCGGGAAAGTGGTGAAAATGAGGAAAAACCATGAAAAGTCCAAAAAATAAGAATTAAGTTGGAATAAGAGCAAAAGGGATAAAAACATATAAAATATTTAAAAATATTTTCTGGTCTACAAATAACTGCCACATGCTTGGCTACAGTCGGAAAAGTCGGAAAATTTATAAAAATCCATTGAAAAATGTAAGAAATTTTTTTTAAGTGGTCAGAATCGGTTTAGGGTAGAGTAAAGTTAATTTAAACTAATTACAAAACAATTTTATATCTACAATGATATCTAGACTTTTCTCTTATGTCCGAAGAATATGTGAAAATTTCGGAAAACTCAGGAAAAGTCAAAATAATAAAAATAATCTATTTACGTTGTTTCAGAACTTACAGAAGTAATTCAAATTCATTTCTAAATTATTTTTTTGAACTATGAATAACTGTTGTAAGTTTTAATATTGGCGGAAAAGTCGGAAAATATATGGAAAAATTATGAAAATTGTAACAAATTGAGCTTTGGCAGTCAGAATCAATTTAGAGTTGAATAAAGTTTTCATTTTTCAGTTTTTTCTTCAAATTTTTTTCTAAATTATATCTTGGACTAGAAATAACTGTTGTAGGTTTTTTATTGACGGGAAAGTCGGAAAATCTATGAAAAATTGAAAAAAAAAAATGGTAACCAAAAATTGAGCTTTGGTAGTCAAAAACAGTTTAGAGTTGAACAAAGTTAACTAAATTTAGTTCTAAAATGATTGTAGATCTACCATCTTACCTAGATTTTTCTTAAATATCAGAAAATGTGTGTAAATCGCGGAAAACTCAGGGAAAGTCAAAATTTTGTATTGAATTGATACCTATAGGTATCAATATACAACAGTTCCAGGACAAAAAAATAATTTGAAAATGAATTTGAATAAAATTTGTCATTTCTGAAATAACATCAATACATAATCCGCGATTTTCACACATGTTCCGATATTAAAGAAAAATCTAGATATGATGGTAGATCTAAAATCATTTTAGAACTAAATTCAGTTAACTTTGTTCAACCCTAAACTGTTTTTGACTACCAAAGCTCAATTTTTGGTTACAATTTTTTTTGTTTTAATTTATCCATAGATTTTCCGACTTTCCCGTCAGTAAAAAAAACCAACAACAGTTATTTCTAGTCCAATAAAAAATTTCGAAAAAAATTTGAAGAAAAAACTGAAAGAAGAAAACTTTATTAAACTATAAGTTGATTCTGACTGCCAAAGCTTCCATTGATTTTCCAACTTTCCCGTCAGTAAAAAAACCAACAACAGTTATTTCTAGTCCAAGAAATAATTTAGAAAAAAATTTGAAGAAAAAACTGAAAGATAAAAATTTTATTAAACTATAAATTGATTCGGACTGCCAAAGCTTCCATTGATTTTCCAACTTTCCCGTCAGTAAAAAAACCAACAACAGTTATTTCTAGTCCAAGAAATAATTTAGAAAAAAATTTGAAGAAAAAACTGAAAGATAAAAATTTTATTCAACTATAAATTGATTCGGACTGCCAAAGCTCAATTTGTTACAATTTTCATAATTTTTCCATATATTTTCCGACTATTTCGTCAATATTAAAACTCACAACAGTGAGTGACTAGTTATTCCTAGTCCAAAAAATAATTTAGAAATGAATTTAAATTACTTCTGTCAGTTCTGAAACAACGTAAATAGATTATTTTTATTATTTTGAATTTTCCTGAGTTTTCTGAGATTTACACACATTCTTCAGACATCAGGGAAAAGTCTAGATATCATTGTAGATATAAAATTGTTTTGTAATTAGTTTAAATTAACTTTACTCTACTCTAAACCGATTCTGACCACTTAAAAAGAATTTCTTACATTTTTCAAGGGATTTTCATAAATTTTCCGACTTTTCCAACAGTAGCCAAGTATGTGGCAGTTATTTATAGACCAGAAAATATTTTAAAATATTTTATGATATGTTTTTATCTCTTTTGCTCTTATTCCAACTTAATTCTTATTTTTTGGACTTTTCATGGTTTTTCCTCATTTTCACCACTTTCCCGAGGGTATGGGGGAAATGAAGGTTACTACTCTATTCCTGGGCTCAAAATGTATAAGGATTCACCTGAAATTTACTTCTCGGTTCGGGGCAAAAATCGACCCTTTTTTAACATCCTCCTTTTATAGGGTAGTTGCACCAGTGAAAGAATTGACACCACTAAAATAATAAATTATTTATTTGTCCCGATATTTCACAAAAATAATAACTTTTAGCACTATACAAAAATATTTTTTAGTTCCTTATTTTTTAAAAATATAGTTTATTATAAAAAAATAGTTACAATATGCAATAAAATAACTTATTTTCGAAAATAATTTTTTTATTTTTTAGTGAGTTTACATGACAAATGAACAAAACATAAACAGAAAATAGTTTACAAGTTACTGTATAATTAAATAATACTTCTGGATGCGCAATCAAGAAAATATGTATAATAGTAGGTTATAAAATTGTTTCAGAATATTTGTAACCTTTTTTATAGAATTTTTTTATTTTTAGGCACTTGCATTAAAATAAATTTACCATGTTCTTTCACTGGAAAATACAACTGTTCTTTCACTGGTAAAATAGACGTTTTTCAATATTTGATTAAAATTTTAAATATTATATTTTATTTATAAAATTTGTATCATATGCTTCAAATTCTACAAGAATATCATATTAAAAATTTCAAGATCTTTTTTGCGTCTTTTTCATAAATTTTTTCTAAAACTTAGAGTAAATCAGGGCCAGATTTAAACATAGGCAAACAATGCCACTGTCTATGGGTCCCCACAAGAAATGAGTGGAGTACATCATCTGGAATATTTTCTATAAAAAGTATTGGAAAAAATGTTGTTGACTTTAAAAGAATAAAAAAATGTCATATAATAATTTTAAGTATTAAAACAAATCAGAAAAAACTTCGACTAAAAAAAGAGTTCTTATTAGAATGCCATCGGGTTTAAATTTATCGACATCAGATATCGAATCAATCTCTAGTATATAAAAATAATCGATACGAAATATTTTAAACGCCCGCATAAAGGTTTTAAAGGTCATGTTCTTCATATTAATCAATTCAATAAATTAATCCATCAATTTTTCAAAATTAAAAATGGCCGATCCAATATGGTGGCCAATTTTTCAAAATTGGTGGGATTATTAAAAAAAATTGTTACTAGGGGGTTTATGACGTCTCCGATTACACTGTAAAAAATCAATTTGTTAAATTGAAAACGGGATTATAATAAAATTTAAATTAAGGGGACCGTACACCACTTTTGCGTGTTTTTTCAACATTTATTTTTTTATAGTAAAATGTATCGAAACTCTGGGCTCTTTTCACACATATTAACACACATATTGAGGATTGAGAAAAAAATATTTTTTTATTTCTTCTGCCCTTCATGGCGACAAAATGGAGGCTGAAGTGATTGTCCGGAAAAAACTGATTGACACGATATCTCTGCTTCAAAATGTTGGAAACAAAAAATCCAAAGAATTTCTTAAAATATACGTCAGTGGCTATGGCTAGAACCACAAAAAATGAATTTGAAAAAAAATTAGAGAATGGCGGCGGTTTGAATTTTTTTTACCCCTTTTTCACTCCTGAAACGGTAAAAAAATGGGGTTAAAAATGAATGTAGAATGTTGGTTGTGGTTCATGCCATAGCCACTGACATATATTTTAAGAAATTCTTTGGATTTTTTGTTTCAGACATTTTGAAGCAGAGATATCGTGTCAACAAGTTTTTTCCGGACAATCACTTCAGCCGCCATTTTGTCGCCATGAAGGGCAGAATAAATAAAAAATTATTTTTTTCTTAATCCTCAATATGTGTGTTAATATGTGTGAAAAGAGCCCAGAGTTTCGATACATTATACTATGAAAAAATAAATGTTGAAAAAACACGCAAAAGTGGTGTACGGTCCCCTTACATGCCCCGAACGTAGTAACCTTACTTTCTAATTGTATACAAATATTGTTCGGGATGTTTAATTACTACGTGTATCATAGTAAAATTGCAGACGAAAATATAAATCCGGTGTCAGTTTTTGATAACTAAAAATAGCGGATCCAATATGACTGCCAACTTTGTCGAAAATTGATGAGATTAATTTGTTTCAAATTAATCTCATCAATTTTCGACAAAGTTGGCAGACTTGTTGCTACGTTTTCAATTTTTCGTTTCTCGAATTCGAACGTCGAGTTGTAACCTTAATAATAACACCCCTATTAATCATATTCAGACTAATGTATCAGAGCAAAATGCAGTTAGTCAACTAATGTTGGGCCAAGATGTTAATTTTCATTTAAGAAGTTGCTCTAATTTTAACATAATAATGTGTACACGCAGAAAAAGTAATTTCTATAAATAATTTAATTAAATAAAATCTGTACATATACAAAAATGACGTTTTGTAAACAGGTCCCAGGTGGAAAAGTTAACGTTCGTTAACGTTAGCTAATGCTACTAACGTTAGGCTAACGTTAGTCTAACGACATTTTTTTATCACTAATATCAGATTATAACGTTAGTTAACATTAGTCTAACGTTAGTTAACGTTAGTCTAACGTTAGTAGCATTAGCTAACGTTAACTTTTCCACCTGGGCTGCTACACAAAGTACAGTGTGTGCCTCGTGCGATAGAAGCATTTCAGACAAATTTGATGACAAACTCAATCTCGTCGAAAAACTGCTTCTTACTACACTAGGAATAGAAATTCCTGCTTCTTTTTAAATAAATTTATTTTAAAATGTACCTATAATTAATATATTTAATAAACATTGAATTTAACGATCATTCCGAGTCAGGTGTATAAAATAAAACAACAAATGTTGTTTAACGTTTCGACAGCGCGGCTGCCCTCTTCAGAAACTATAATTTATTTAACAAAAAAAGAAAAATAATTAAAATAAAAATACATTCTTAAAAATATGAAGTTAATAATTATAAACTTATTTTTAAACAATTATTTACCGAAAAAAATTAACAAAATTAGAAAAGGTTCCAAAAGGAACGTCTTTGTCGTTGCGATTACAATTGGACACTGGTAAATAAAATGTATAATTCACGAAGTATAATTTAACTGACGTGAGGTGAATGACCGTGTCAGTAACCAAAATTTAGGAAATGTCAGGGCAAATCAAACAAATTAAGAATATTTCATTTCATTTATAAAATGATTATAGCAATTACTAAGATTTTGTACGTCTTCCTTTTTATTAACCGGATTTTTTTGTAAATTAATATGGATCATTTCCGATATCAAACGTTTTTTGTAGTTTACTTCTTTGTCCAATATGAGAAAATTTTTCCAATCAAATTTATGTTTAAAAAAATCGTTATGAGTAGCAATTACATTAGAAATCGAGTTTTTATGCTCATTAATACGAACACCTACCATTCTTTTTGATTGTCCCACATAACATGCAGAGCAATTTTCACAATTAATTTTATAGACAGTGTTAGTGTTCTCAGATTTTACATTTTTATCTTTGCCTTTTTTAACAAAATTATGATTCATGTTATGATTCTTGCAAGGAATAGATAAAATAGCATAATTATTCAGAAGTGAGGAAGTTTTTTCAAAAATGTTCGGAACATAGGGTAAGAGAACTTTTGGTGATCTTGTGTAAAGTATGACATTTTTGTCAGTAGAACATAGAGAATTAGATTCTATAAAAGAAACACGTGTCATTATATGCTTGTTTATAAAATCTAATGGATAATTATTTTTTAATAAAATTTCTCTCACATATTCTATGTTTTTTGAGTGGAATTATTTGTCAGAGAGTTTTATAGCTCTATCAATTAAGTTAAAAATTATTGCGATTTTTTGAGTCAAAGGATGTTTAGAATGGTAATTAATGGTTCGTCCAGAAAATGTGGGTTTTTTGTACCAATCAGTAATGAGTTGATTTCTTTAATTAATAATAACAAGAACATCCAAAAAATTAATAGTATTATTATTTTGTATTTCAAAAGTAAACTGTAATCTTTCGTCATAGCTGTTAAAAATATTAATCATTTCGTCAATTTTATCTTTCTGTATGCAAGTAATTATATCATCAACGTATCTATAATAAAAAGGAAGACGTACAAAATCTTAGTAATTGCTATAATCATTTTATAAGTGAAATGAAATATTCTTAATCTGTTTGATTTACCCAGACATTTCCTATATTTTGTTTACTGACACGGTCATTCACCTCACGTCAGTTAAATTATACTTCGTGAATTATACATTTTATTTACCAGTGTCCAATTGTAATCGCAACGACAAAGACGAGTGATAATATCATATAATAATTTTATAATTAATATAATTTAATAATTTAATTGAATACCTTTTAAATACCGCTTTGAAAACAGCAACCCCATAAACTCCCAAGTAGCATGTGTTTCAAATGAATCTGATCAATATTTGACAAAATTATCCGCCATATCGAATCGGCTTTTTTGAACTTTCAAAAACTGACACTGAATTCGTAATCAGCGACCCTAAAAACTCCCAAGTAATAAATTTCAAACGAGAAAGATTTTTTTATGGATAAGGATTCGAAAACGCTAAAGTGTTTTATATTCATGTTTGCAACCGAAACTTTTATTAGTGTACAGAACCTTTAGATTCTGCGCGAGTACAACTCGCATTTTTCCAATTTTTTATATTTTAAGTGAAGTTTCCACACTTGAAACCTTTGTGGTGACATATAAAAATTTCGTACCAATTGTATGTCTATGCCATACAAAATGAGATTAGTTAAATTAAAATTTAAAATCGCTGAGTAGCACTTTAGAAAGTTTACTTGTAAGTAGAAATTGATAATAAAAGTTCATTCAAATGCAAATTGTTTCTTGCAAATTCGAGAAAATAATGGTTGAGAAATATGAATTAAAAATTCCGCGTTATTTTATGGAAACTAAAAAACTAATAAGTTACTGAGACATTGCTGAATAATAAAAAATATTTTTTAAAAAGTCACGATGATCTTTTTGACTAATTAATACTGAGTGGAGTAGTGTACCATTGTCTGAGTGGTGCTAACACCGCTATCAACTGTTGGGGGAACAGGGCTGGTTGTTCCAATGGGGTCGATGGCATTACCAGACAGTCCATTGTCAACATCATTGGTACCGACGAGACTAATCTGCTTTTCCAAGGTGGCTACTGGACTACTGTTAGAGAGAGCAGCATTCTGATTACGGGAACTTTGGTTAGCCTGGATATCAGTAAATGCGGATAGACTTGGCCGGTTAGTAGTAGAGGTGGTTGTACTAAGCGAGAAAACAACTTCAACCGGGTTGCTGGGAGGATCCGGTATTACCGTTCCATTGGGGAACTTGCGAACAAGTCTTCCATCAGGATAAATTCCAAAGATGACGTATGGGCTGTCAACGTTCCTTGCGTCAATCAAATTGTCCTCTGGTCGCTTTCGCACTATTGTCTTATTTGGATAGATTCCATAGATCAAGTAGTCCCTCAGTGGAGCTGTTGTTGACGAACTAGAGCTAAATCTTGGAGCCGGGGTGATTCTTAATCCACCAAAACGTCCCGCATACGGAGTTATCATCGCAGGACCTGAAGCTGCTCCAGGGTTCGACACTGGTGTTGCGTCAATACTCAAGAGTTTTGAGGATGATAAAGTTGCTGTTGTTGATGGACTGGAGGTGGATGTCGGGAAATTACCACCATTACTGTTCGTAGGAGGTAGAGTGGTACCAACATTACTTGAAGGAGAAAGAGTGGTTCCAATATTGTTCAGAGGAGAGGAAGTTGTTTCAATAGGTAAATAAGTGGTTTCAAAATTGTTTAAAGAAGAAGTGGTGGTACCAAAACTGGTGGGTAATAATCTTGTGGATGGTGTGGTTGTTGGTAAATTATAATTGAAACTGGTTGGTAGTAACCTGGTGGAAAGAGTGGTAGGATTTCTAGATAAATATGGAAAATCCAAGAGGTTTGAAGTGATCAAGTTGGGTCGTGCCGTCGTTTGGGCAGTTGCTGGCGAAGAATCCTGGAAACGTGTAAGCATATTTGGAATAACAGTCTCTGGATTTGAAAAAGAATCAAGGGTCGTGATGAGTGAACCAATGGTTGTTTCTAAAGGCGTATTAGGAGTTGTTTCCTCAACCATTTGGATCAGCTCGGTAGAAGTGGGGGTTAGTGTGATTTCTTGGGTTCCCATATCCAGTGCTGATGATGCTGTGGGTGCTTTAGTTACAAGATCTGACAACATTACATATAAGTCTAAGGTACTAGAGGTTTGCAACTGAGGTGATTTTGTGCTACGTGATTCAATACTTTGTTCGTTTGGTACTACAGGTGCAAAGGTCTGTGGTGCATCATTAGTCTGTGAGTCTAAGATTAGTGATGGATAATTTATGCTGGTTGTCTCAGGATTATCTGTACGAGGCGTTTGTTTAATTAATCGAGAAAGGGTGTCAGAAATGGGCGCAAGGGTCGTGTCAATATCTACCGCAGTCGTTCTTTCGGTAGTTTGGTTTCTATCAGTATTGTCAAGAAAACCACCTAGAAGTGAAGGCATTTTATCTACATTTGCCCGACTTTGAGGAGTTTTTGACATTAGCACAGGCTTCGTATCATTTGGGGATTTGGAGGAAAGCTTTGTTGCAACGTTCATTAGGCGCGAGAGTAGTTCGTTATCAAAGGGTATATCACTATCACCGTCATTGATCCAAGATTGAGTCATATTCATAAATTCGTCTTTACCGATGTTGAGCTTGACCTGATTTGCCAGAGATGATGAAAAATCAAGAAACGTTTGTCCGGCAGGACTGATATTCTCGTTTAAGCTCTCATCAACATTCAATAGATTTTTAGATTCCGTAATAGCACTTTTAAAAGTGGTTTGATCTATTAATGACGCAGGAGCACTAGTCACATCACTTCTTGGATCATAAGCGGTTTCTTTAATTCTTGCAGGTATAGCGGAATTAGTGGTTAGGATCCCTAGCGGTGTTGTCAATTCGTTTAATAAATTTGGTTCAATCATTGTAGTTGTCTCAATATTCTCCATTACCTGGCTTTTTATAGTTGGATTACCCAACTGCGCCAGGGTATCCAAAAAAGACTGCAACTTAGGGAATCGAGGAAATCCTCCCATTGGAATGAATGTGGAGGGAATGATTGTTGGCGTCGACAATGTCCTTGCAGTTGTTGACGATGTCATCAATGGCCTTGATGATAATGATGTAGTTGTCAATTCTGTTGAGCTTGGCGTCGACAATGTCCTTACAGTGGTTGACGATGTCATCAATGGTCTTGATGTGGTTGGCAATTCTGTTGATGTTGTAGTCGTAAATGGAATTTCAGTTGTTGAGGTTCGAGTAGTAGTCGAATATTCTGTAGTGGATGATGCTGTTGTTGATTGAACCGTAGTTGTAGATGATAATTCTGTTGTGAATGGTACTCCAATTGTTGATGACGATATTTCTGTAAATGATTTTTCAGCCAATGGCATTCCTGTTGTTGTTGCAATTTCTCCTGATGAAGTTTCTGTTATTGTTAGTGGTACTTCTGTTGATGCATAATTCTCAAAAAAATTTCCTCTAACATCAATACCAATAACACTATCCGTGGTACTTAATATACCATCATTGAATATAGGTATTTCAGTTGAAAAATAGCCATTATCTATTGCAGAATTCCTAGCTGGATTTATTGTTGAAGCTGAACCCAAAAAATCATTTTTCTCTTCATAATTTGTCAATTTTTGAAAGGTTTCTTCTCCAGGAATTGCTTTAGAACTTGATGTAGCATAAAGAGCTTCATCATTTAAAGATAAAAATTTAGAAAATGGAGATTCAGTTGGAGATTGTGGTGTAGAATTAGAAATGGTTTCCAAACCAGAGTCAGAGAGAGATTCAGAATTAGAAGTGAATTGAGATTCAGAATTTTTAATATCTTCAGAAGCAGAGTCTGTTGTAGATTCAAATGAAGAGTTAGAAATAGATGCAGTTGTGGTTTCAAATCCAGTATCTGCAGAAAGTTCAGGTTTTACAGGGGTTACAATAAATACATTAGTATCGGTAGTGGAAGATGCTTCAGTAGCTGTAGAAATTTCCTGGCTAGTGCTTATTGTTGTTATTTGAACTTCTGAAATAGGATTATTAGTACTGGTTGCAAGATTGGGACTGAATTCTAGATCTTCAATATCATTGTTGGAAAAATTAGGAATGTTAGAAAAATTCGTTACTTCCTCGGCTTCTGCACTTGTCATTCTTATAGTCGTGGTAGCGGCTTGAATTCGATTGTTCACATCCAAAAAAGTACTTACGTCGGCAAGGGGTGGATTTAACTCAGATGAGGAGATTGTCTCAAAAGTGGATGGTGTTTTCAAATTTGTTGTGGGTGTTTCAGAAGTTGGGGTAGCCTCGGGTGTTGGGGGGATTTCATCTGAAGGGGTAATGGAGTTTGGTTTAGCGGTTGTTACTGCTACTGTTATTGGTTCTATGTCATTGTTAGAACTGTTCGTGCCGTTGGGGTCGTTATCGTTAAGTCTGTCTACCTGGGCAACTCGTCCGAGTTGCTGTAAGTTAGTCTTAAGTTGTTCGTCGGTGATGGAAGCCGACTCCAAAGCCTGATAGAAGGTAACAACCTTAGGTTCTCCATTACTTGAGACTTCAATTGGTGGTGACGACCCGGAATTCTGTAAACATAAAAGACATGCATCGTGCGTGCTGTACAACATGCGTACAATTGTGCTGATTACATCTTTACACGAATCAATTATACTGTTCTTCCATTCAGCTTGGAGTATGTGATATATTTACTTGGAAAAACTGTTAGTCCCATTTCTATACAAAAGAAATTCAATAATGACAGAAAATTTAAAATGAGAAAGCATATACTATTTCAAGGTTTATCCTAAAGCTACTTAAAGGAGAAAGGGTGTGTAGCCGGATAAATATGGAAAAATTGACCCGCACGTATTTTATTCATACTTTTACCAAACATTCTTACCCACTTAAATATAATTTTCTGTCAACTAAAAATTGTGTGTTTTGTGGGATAATGTGTTACAAAAATGGTTAAGTTCCAAAATTGTAAAAGAATAATATGGGCTGCTGAGGGAGGGCGTGAGATAGAGATACTTGGGTCAGAATTTCTCAAACGGATCACTTAAAAAAATTGTTTTTCATGGAAAATAATTTTTTTTAATCCTTGTAGAGTAAAGTTACCTTTTTGGTAACAACAACAACGGTGATCCGTTTGAGAAATTCTAACCCAGTTCTGAGTTAGAAGAAAAGCGCATGAAAGAGCTTGATCGAGTGTTAGGTTTTATGTTTAACGACTGTTGTAGCGGTGCCTATCGATGACATGTACTAAATAAGTATGTATGAATTGAAATGTATATGTGACAAGGACAGTTAAAGGGGACCTACGAGTCGAAAAAATCAATTTTTACTTTTTTATCGATTCTTATAATAAACGGACTACTCTTTCCAACGCAATAAACCGCAGCTTTCTAGCTGCATTAGTTTTCTCACAATTTCACTTCAAAGTTAGGTACTTTGGAATAGCGCGGTCTTTGACGATTTGTAATGAATGAATGGAATGATAGAGAACTCGAGGAGAGAACTGGTCAGTCAATTATTACATTTGAAACCTATAACACCAAATATCAGTTTTATTTATGTAGTAAAAGTAAATTTTAATTCAATAATTAGAATTCTTGAAAATTAATTATATAACATAATATCTATAAAGTGACATGTTGGACATTGATAAAAATATTATAGTTTGTAATAATAATCATATTGATATTTATAATATTGATTTTCGATGATTGATTTTTAATGAAACGCTTTGAGGTTTTTATTTGATTTTAAAGAACTGTTTATGAAAATAACCTTCTAATATATAAATAGTAGAGTTCGTTTATACTGAGATGTACGGGACCAAAAGTTTAACGTTTCTGTTGGCTTAAATTTCAAAGGCTGGTCAAATTTATCCGCGTCAGTTACCTTAACAATTCGAAAAAAGACTAATTTATGGAAAACATAATGTTAAACTATTTTTAATTCTGATGTGGAAAAACGATGTAGATATATTTATAATTTTGTTATAAATTGTTATATATATACATAGATCAATTGAGTAGCTACTCAATATTCAACAACTGGACTAGTGCGAAATCAAATTCTCTAATGTCAGTCAAGTGTCAGTGAGTGCCTCTGGGTATTCACTGCTACCCGACTGGTATAAATGCGTGCTTTCAGTCTTTTGGCTAGTTCTTGCATGCACATTGAGAGAGAAGATAGTTAGGATAACCGTATTTCGAAGGTAATTTTAGTTAATAAATTTACTGCATCTAATTTGTTGGTTGGCATTACAATGTTTATTATTAACCTAGTTTGATTTAACTATTTTGTTAGTCTATCTATTTAATAAGTCACGTTACTAACTAAATGGCTGTAGAATACCTAACTACCTAAATAGTTTAAATATCTGCAATTATTTTGCTTATGTTATAGAAATTGTATTTACAAATCCTGTAATTATAAATAATTAAATATTTTTTTGATATTACCATAATGCGCTAAACAAATGTAAGTTAAATTTAATTTTTATTATTTGTTAAAATTAAAAAATAGTGCAACAACATAGTGAAACTGATAAAGATGTTTAGCATGCGCATTTTGTTGGAAACTTTTTAAAGATTTATGAATAGTGAGAACAAATGAATTGGCATAATTATCGGGTGGGAAAATAAGAAGTTGGATTAGTCACAAACTTTCTATTAATTTTCTTACCTCGATTGGCGTAAATGGTGTAGTAGAGCTTGTAATCTTCGGAACAGCAGATTGAGAAATTGATGGATTTCTTACGAAAAGTTCGGCGCCCTTATATCTTGCACTAAATCTTGGAGGAGATCCATTTGGCGTTATCCTGACAGCTGTATTCTAGTAATTAATAAATAAAATTCTAATCATTTTCGTACAATTTTACATTTTTTGAAAATTTTAAAATGTATTATACAATCTTTAATAAAATTTATTTTAGATAATAAAAATTATTTTTAAATTTATTGTATATGTTACCGGCAAAACCCGAAGACCAGGCAGTTCTCGAATTGCCTAGGCGATTCGCGAAATGCCGAGACCGTTTTAGGCAAATTGGCAATTTGCCTAAAAAGAATTCGTCATTTTAGGCAAATTGAGAAATGGATTATCTGAGCCATTTATAGACAAAAGAAATAATCCAAATTTCCTTCATTACTCAATTATATTTCTTACTATTATTAGTATTTATACTGCGTCAAAACGCGTCAACCGTGAATAATTTTTTTTTAGATATTTGGAAAAGTCAAAACATAATTATAAACATCTGTAATTCACAACAAACCAAAAACACTTTAAACCGTTTTTTAAAATTTTTAATTTTAATACCTTTTTTTTATGATAACAAATTCTTGCATCATTTAAGAAAAAAAATTAATAACAAGAAAAATCCCATTTGCAGTGGGATTTTTTTACAATTTACTGTTCAAAAATATCTAAAGCTTACAATTTTTATTCGATTTCAGTGTTCTTTGTTTTAAATTAAAGAGGAATAAATTCGACTCAAATAGAAAAGAATGCCTCTTGGATCATTAAAATTGGTTAACAAGTTTTTTTCAATTAATTTTTAAAAAAAGTCTAAAAAATTTAATTGTTTATAATAATAACAAAAAAATTTTTTTTGTCAAATCCTTTGTTATAGTGTTTTTTTATATAAAACACTATAGGAAAAACAACATTTTAGCGAAAAATAAATTTTTTTAATATTAGGTGGCACGTTTCAAAAATTTTTACTCCAAATTAATAAACTTAGGATTATTCAAAAAATATAAGAATATAAGTTAAATCTACCCATACAATCCATTATTTAATCAATTTCTTAAATTGACTAAATAATTCGCGAAATGAAAAAGCCTTTTCAGGCAAATTGCTAATTTGCCTAAAACGGTCCCGGCATTTCGCGAACCGCCTAGTCAATTCTCGAAATGCCTAGGCAATTCGAGAACTGCCTGTAAATCTCTAGAAAATTCGGGTATTTCCTAAAATCTTAGGCATTTCGCAAAATGCCTGGTCTTCGGGTTTTGCCGGTAACATATAGAAGAAAAATATGTGTATGGTGGATTTCACGTCAGTTCAACACACTTATTTCCATGACTTGTTAGGATTTGGCTGTACTTTTGTAAATTTATTACTTTTATAGTGATAAACAACTCCACCAAATATTTTTTTTAAATTTTGAAAATTACAAAAAATATGGCATTTTCAAAATTTTTGTATTTTTTTTTGAAAGTGCTATAACTTTGGTTCTAATTAACCGATTTTGGATTTTAAAAACAGGATTTTTTTGGTTTTAAGTATATTTTAAGTTACAATTAATATAAAAAAAAAATTCAAAATTTTTTTTTTTTTGTAATTTTGAAAAATTAAAAATCCGTTTTGAAAAAACATCATCTTCGATTTTTTTCAAAATTTTACTAAATGTTAGGGCAAATATGCTTTACATGTCCTGTAAGTTTCATCTTGGGATCTCAAAGGGATTCGGAGTAAAAAAATATAACGTAACCACAAATTACGAACATATGGGGCAAAATTCCTCAAGTGCCTAGGTAAAACAATGAATTTTCTCTAAACTTTATTAAAATGGTACTATTATTAGTAGAAGTGTAAATATTAATTTTTTTTGAATTTGATAAAATATTTTTTGAGTTATAGAGTTTCAAAATTTTGATTTTTTTGAAAATATCTTTTTTTCGATTTAATATATTGATAAGTAAAATTAATCTAATTTAAAGTATGAATAGTGATTTTTAAAGGGGTTTTCACGGATTATAAGCTGGTGATGAAAAAAAGTTGTTTTCTTTCAATTTGACCTTGAAATTCAAGGTCAAATTCTCATTTTCAATATACATATCTCAAAATCGGTGTTTTTTATTTTTTTGTAACCTATCCCAATCGAAAGCTTACTTTTTTTCATATGAACCATGTAAAAATCAGAGTGGGACCATGGAACTTTTTGAAAAAATTAATTGTAAATCATCATTTTCTATGTAAAATAATGATAAATTATTATTTTCCTCAAAAATTCTCATGGTCCCACTCTGATTTTTACATGGCTCATAGAAAAAAAGTCACCAGTTTATAGCCCGTGAAAACCCTTTTAAAAATTACTATTCATACTTTAAATTTGATTAATTTTACTTATCAATATATTAAATCGAAAACAAAATATTTTTAAAAAATCAAAATTTTGAAACTCCATAACTCAAAAAATATTTTATCAAATTAAAAAAAAATTAATATTTACACTTCTACTAATAATAGTAACATTTTAGCAAAGTTTAGAGAAAATTCATTTTTTTACCTGGGCAGTTGAGGAATTTTGCCCCATATGTTCGTAATTTGTGGTTACGTTTTATTTTTTTACTCCGAATCCCTTTGAGATCCCAAGATGAAACTTACAGGACATGTAAAGCACATTTGCCCTAACATTTGGTAAAATTTAAAAAAAATCGAAGATGATGTTTTTTCAAAAACGGATTTTTAATTTTTCAAAATCCTGTTTTAAAAATCCAAAAACGGTTAATTAGAACCAAAGTTATAGCACTTTCAAAAAAAAAAAAAAATTTTTTGAAAATGCCATATTTTTTTTAATTTTCAAAATTTTGAAAAAATATTTGGTGGAGTTGTTTATCACTATAAAAGTAATAAATTTACAAAATTACAGCTAAATCCCAACAAGTCATAAAAATAAGTGTGTTAAACTGACGTGGAATCCACCATACATAAAAAGAATTTTATAAAAACATTTAAACCTAAAAAATTAATTAAATAAAAGGCCATTCATATACTACATAATACTCCAAGGGAGAAGGAAAATTCAAGCTACTTGCTATGATGTGCAGAAAAAATAGCACATTATAATAAAAATTAATGCCACGAATTGTAATAGATAGTATGTAAAATGCTCCCTGAAGATTACGTCGGATTTGCTTCAGATTGCTAATGGAATTTTCGATTCCAGATGAATTTCTATCGTAAATCAGATAGAATTCCAGTGAAATTTTGACGGAAAGTATTATCGGAATTCCGAGAGAATCTCCAAAGCGCACTTTCATTAGAATCTTTCCAACTTGCTACAGAAAATTACAAGTATAAAAGCATTGAAAATATATTTTTATGAAATATCATTGTGGCATGAACATTTCTTCATTTTATTACATAAATCTTTTTATAAAATGTAAATCCAATATAACATCGATAAAATAAAATAAACAACTAAAAATCCACTGCTTTTTAAACTATATTTTTCTCATCAAAACAATTTTCTGTAATAATTATTTTAAATTAAAAGGTCAATATACAGTGATTTTGGTTTCATATTTTATATAATTATAACTATTTAACAACTATTTTTGCCTTTAACAAAACATTAAAATTATGGATTTTTCCTAAACTTATTTTAATACTTTAAAATAATTAATCTGCAATAAAAAATGAAGCCCATTTAAAATTAAATTTCACCAAAAATGACTAAAACATTTTGAAAATTATTCTACTCCATGATTCATACATTTTTTTCCTTTTTCATGAAGAACGGAATTTTATCGAATGGACATTGGATCGAAAAACTATTGGTTTTAGAAGACACTGGGTCGAACCAACATTTGCTCAAAAAATCATTTAATATAAATGGTATTCAGTCGATAAGATATTTGATCTAAAAGACATTCGGTCTAAAAGACATTTGATCGAAAATTCATGTGATATTTTAATCTAAAAGATATTTAATTAAAAAATGAAAATGAGTAAAATTTATGAAATTTAATAATTTCTAAAAATTACCATTATAACCCTTCCTTAATTCAATTATTTTCTATTATTTTCAACTAAACTAAACTTCATCTCCAAATCAATTATCTATATTAATTTTAAACAATTTCCCGAAAGTTCTTCGTGAATTAAATTATTTATTAATTATAATAATTGTAACTGCCCATGTTTTTTTCTCAAGTTTATTTAGGTATAATATTTTCAAAAAATAAAAATAATCAAATTTTTGAACAATTTAAATTATAAATATGACCATGATTTCTCTGAAATTTTAACTAGTCCAAAAAGTAAATTTTTATTTGCTTTATTCGAAGATAATTAAATCTTAAAAAATTATGATAAAAAAAAATTCTAAGAATTAAGTAGTTTTTAAAAATATTTTTATGTGATTTCTCGAAAACAATTTAATTTCTTAAAAGAGTTTTTGTATTAATAAAAAACTAATTAATTTTTTGATGAATTTTAATGAAATATTTTGAACACGATTTTTTTCTCCAAAATGTTAAAAATAATTCTAAAATGTTTTTTTTATGTATTTGAATTTTTGGAAATATTTAATTAAAAGAACTGAAAATACTAAATTTAAAAAAATTAGAAGCTAATTTTCATTAATTTTCATTTTTAAATTTACGTTTAAAGATTTTTCATTAAATTTTTTTGAGAATTCAATTACTTTCAGAAAATTTGCAATTAAAATTTTTCAAAAATTCTAACAAAATACTTGAAAAAAAATTAATTATTTTCAGTTAAATATTACAAAATTTCAATTACAATTCAAAATTTTTTTAATTGTATATTTCGATGATTTTAATAAAAAAATGATTCAAAAATAATTTTTGAAAGATTTGTTTTTAATTTTTAAAAATAAGTGGAAAAATTCTTAATTTTCTAAATTTCTCTGATATAAAATTTTTTTTCCTGACATTTCCCTGACTTTACTGACATGTGGCTACTCTGATTTCAGAAACTTTTTTGAAAAATTTCCGGCAATCCTTCCACATGGAAATTTATCACAAATCACAATACTTTCTCCATTAGGAAGCAATGAATTATCATTAATTAAATTAAATAAATAATTATTCATATTAATTATTTTAAAACTTACGATATTTGTGGCATTATTGTAGATTCCGGAAAAAATGGGACTCCTGGCGCCCAAGGAGCCGAGTAAAGGCGCCACTGTGCTTCTAATTTGATCTAAAAGAGAAACATTTCCTGCAGTGACAAGGATATTCTTAGTGGGACTAAAGATATTGCCACTATTTCCAGTGAATGCATTGCCGTCTTGAAGGATCTGAAGAGACTGCTGCTGCACACTAGTGGAGTCATTAGATACCTTTACATTAACCGCAGGTTCCTGCGTTACCAGCTGTGGTGAAGGGCTACTCGAAACTTTAAACCTAGTTGCCTTCGGTGTTATTTCAATGCTGTTTGGCTCTACAGTCGACGATCTCAGCAAACTTAGAGGTACTTCCGAGTGTCTTCGATAGGTTGCGGTTCTTGATCGTGGATCAATCTTCTGAGAACTATTCATCTTTTCATCGCCACTAGTGGCGACACTAACATTTGCCGCAGAATTGATTTTAAAAGCTTGTACCTTCTTTCTGGAATATCTACTAGTAGGGCGGAAATTTTTTGCTGTTGTCTGTTCGTCTTTCAAATTTTTCGTTTTTAAAAGTCGTGTCTCATCGACACTGCTCCTGGAGAGATCATTAAATAATTTGGTCCTTAATTTCTTCGTTGATATCTCTTCCGAAATTGTCGTACTGACTGATTTTGTTACAGAGATGTAGTTTTTTATTGTGACCGGATTTTCAGTAGTTTCTCCAATTGTATTAAAATCTGTTGATTTAATTTGATTCGAAGGAGTAGTACCCCTATGAAATGAGACTTTTGAGCCTGATTTCGCTGTAGAAGCGTTTCTATATCGTGAAAGAAGTGGTTTTCTCGAAGGCAATAATTTTGATTTATTTTCATTTGTATTTTTCGATAAATGACGAATCAAAGTACTTTTAGGTTTCTGCGTTGTGGAAGAATATTCACTTGTCTTATTTCTTCTAGAAAACGATTTCCCCCTTCCTAAGGAATTATTCGACTCTACTCGATTTTCAATTTTTGATTTTGATCGTATATTGAAAGATGATCTAGTTTTTGAAGAATTTTCATTTTTTCTTATTCGTTCTGACGAACTTTCAATTGTTTTTTTTTCTTCTTTCACTGTAGAATTTCGTGATTTTGGTATAAAATTGCGTACTTTACTTGTTTCATGATTTTTTTTCGGTCTCGCTAATTTCGGTTTAACGACACTCTCTTGGCCTAATGTACTCTCGGTGTGAAGATCAGACAATTTGTTCTCCAATTTTTTCTCCTCATCAATATCCAAATGTTTCCTCTCGTTGATGGAATCGGTTTCCTCATCAAGCAACTCTGGTTTCACTAGTTTCCTAGCGTTTTCCAATTTCATTCGGGACCTCGCGGAAAATAGTGATGTTGTTGCTTTCTTGTTGCCCTGAAAAGGTCGTCGAACAACCTTTTTATGAACAAGACTGAATTTATTTTGACTCGGCTGAGACTTTTTTCAGTTTTGAGTCAATTTATAGAAAGGAAGAAAACAAGTCCAAAAGTATCCCAAAGCATGATAGAAAGAGTTAATAGAATCCAATCGTGCTTATTAAATTTTGCAAAAGTAATAAAAATAATATTTAGTAATCAATATTATAAAAGTTCATGCAAAAAAAAATTAAAAAGATAATCAAAGGTTCATGCAAAAGAAACTAAAGAAATAGAAAAATATATAAAAATTATCTTGATATCTAATCGGATTTATTTTTACTTTTCTTTTTTTATATTCTGTTCTAATTGATTTCATTGGCAATTTTTAAAATTATTTTTAAAATGATCGGTTGTTCGGTATCGCCTTCATTTGAAGAACTTCAGTAAATAGGCGGTCCAATTAATGATGACGTTCTTAATGATCTCGAACCACGATCGCATTGCAGATGACAGTAACTGAAAGTTTAATGACGCCTTTTTAAGGTTTAAAGAGACAGAATTCCGAATCGACAGATAAAAATAAATCTGTTGTCAATTTTTAGTTTGCACGCTATTTTTTACTTTTCGAAATCGTCACATTTTGTAACAGTAAAATATAATTTTCTAAAACCTAATTTTCTCCCAATTATATAAAACCTCCTATTTATTGAAAGGTAATAAATTACAAATTAAAAAGTCAATGATATATTATTTATAATAGCATAGAATCGAAAAGAATAATTTTTGAAAGAAATTTAACGAAATTATTGATATTGATTCATTACTACCTACTTAATTATTTTCTAGTAATGATATATATTTTATTCTAAAATTACGACATTTGATTTCCGTTTAATTTTCAAGAATGAGCTCTCGATATTGACTAATAAGAAATTTCTATAGAAATTCTTTTCTAAAGATTATAATAAACAGATCTATGTCACCAAAAGCCATCATTAACGGGAGAATCGAGTATATGAAAGTTAGACAATCAACTTTCGTTAATTACTAATTGCAATTACAAGTCATTTATAACGGTACAGGAAATTTTTCATTAAAAAATATAGTATTACCATTTTTTCTTTGTAGGGGTATTTTTGATGTTTTATGACGTTTCTAGCGTTAGACAATGTTTACATTAATTTTTTTTCACATAAAATTTTATATTTAAATTTCTCTGTCAGAAAATTTTTGCCAAGTTGTGTATATTCATCAAGAAATATTTTCTAAATTTGCTTGGTATAATAATAATACATATGAAAAAATAAATTCAAGATATGTTACGCGCCATTTACTTAACATGGCGCGTAACACCTTATAGCATCAAGACCCTCAATTGTTGATAAATAAATAAGTTAAGAAAGGTATATGAACATTAATTATTAAAGTAGTAAAAAGTTAAATATAAAAAATTATTCTTGATACAAAATATATGAGAAGAACAAAATTAAAATTTTCTCTACCATATGGAAACATTTTTGAAGTTAATTTGAAGTAAAACATTTTTGTATTAGTACTGAAATAAACTATCAAAGAATTTAGTAAATTTCCAGAGTCATAAGTTTCTGTACTCTTTGCTGTGACATTAATGAGATATTTTAATTATTCATGATCTTTTTGTATGTATAATAATATCTGATCCAATTTACGCGAATCGCGTTCAGTTACCACGCCTTCGCTCAAGGTTTTACTTTCTCCTTTACGAGAAACCCAAAAATAAGAACAGTTGGCCAGCGAAATTAACCGGTTCGCGAATCCCTCACGGAATATTATGAAATCTATCACATGTGAAATTTTATTTCCAAGAAGTATTTTTGAAAAAGAACAATAAACAAAAAATACAGGACTTTCCTTTTGATTGAGTAAGATTTTCGAGAGAATAAAGGAGAATAAGCATCAAGCACGATGTCAATGTTCTCCAGATGTCGTAATATGGGAAGTCAATGACATCGAATGCATTTTTGGTCAGTTTCAATATTTCGACATACATACTATTTAAACCGTATTTGGCAGTTATTATCTCTTTGACCATGAATTGGAATTTTCCGCATTTTTATTTCCTGTTACTTCAGCAGGCGCCCGTAAATTTTGTAATAAACATGTAGAAGGAAAAATTATTTTTTGTCTTGATGTAAAATAATAAAAATTTGTTTTTATTTTCATATTTTATCAAAAAGAATTTAGATGTCTTATTTTGACTTTAGTGAAAAGAATAGAATTTCGGAAATTCTTCAAATAATACTCACAAACGAAATCAGAAAAAATATTTCTTTTTTAAAATTAGAAAATTCCAATTATAGTTTATTGATAGAGAGTGAGGCTTTTGTTGCATGCAAATAGAAAAAACAATAGTTGCCTTCTAGAGAAATGGAAAAATTGCGGAGAAAGAGGGAAGCAATTGACAATTATATATTTTATAGCATAGCACAGAATGAAAGGGAAAGTTTTCTATACCCAGGAAAAAGTTTTTCGTCAAAAATATTCCATTAACCAGTTGTTCAAAGTTTAATGATTTTTTGAAAATAGAAAATCCCTTTGACACTTTTTTCCGAGATATGCACATGTTATTTATAAAGTATTTACAAACCCTATAATAAGTAAGTTAGCAATAAAAAATTAAAACTAACAAGTGCCCAAACATCAAAATTCATAGAATTGCAGAAAACAGATAATGAAATTTCTTGAAATATTTTAAACTATTGTATTTATAATATTGTAATAAATATTTCATTATTCTTTTTTAATTATGGAAATTTATAATTATATGATAATTTTGTATAAATGTTATATTTTACATTATTAATTTTAATAAAATGCTTTTGCTAATAAAAATAATAAAAGTAAAATAATTGTTTTTTAATTATAAAATTTAAATAAGTTTCATGGTGATAAAATTTTAAGAAAATTGGAAATGAATTTAAAAGACTTTAAAATTTTAGTGGAATTATTTTTTTATGCATATGTGAAAAAGATATATAACATACTTGCAATGGTGAGTTTGGAGTTGGTTTTGCCGCAGACGCTGAACCCGAATTTTTCTGAAATGATATTTTCTTTCTACTTAATATTTATGAACATTTAAAAATAATGTAATAAATAAATACAATATATATAATTGCATGAAAATTGAAAAATAAATATTAGATGCAGAGAAAACAACTAAGTTAAATAAAAATATTTAGTTTAAATATTTCATCAAAACTAAGTGACATTCGTCTAATTTATTGTACGAAAAAATTTATTATTGATTTACTATAAAAATTAACAAATTTAGATTTATTTAGTTAAAGAATTAATTGTAGTTAACCCTTTAACTCCCAAATGTACAAAATTTTGGCATGAAGTTTAAGGACATATTTCGGTACTTAAAAATCAATAGACAAATTCATCAATCAACATTTCTTATGTTTTCATATGCGTTCTATCCAATGGCGTTATAAAAAAAATTAAAAAGTCCGTAGTAGTATAAGCAAGTAAAAAGTGCCCCCTCTTGGATTAGGTCCATATTTAGAAAATAACTTTGACCTATTATGAGACTTATTTTCACCAAGTTTCAACTCGAAAAAAAATTTTGCTTTTGAGTTATACAATTTTTTTTAAAAATTCAAAAAAATTCAAAAATTTTTTTTCCCTCCAAAATGGCTGAACCGATTTTCAAGAAACAATTTTTTTTGTACAATACAATATAAACAGTTGATAAAAAAAAATTGTCGACCAAATTCAAACAAAAAAACTCAGTATAAAGTCAGTAAAAAAAAAAAAATTTTTTTAATTTTTTTAAAAAAACATTTTTTTTATTGAAATTTTTTTTGCACCACCGCCATTTTTTTTACATAAGATAATAGTCATTTCAAAAGTAACATATATTTTTTGCAAGATGTTTGAAAGGGTACTTCATATTTTAAAAAATAAAAAACCAATTTTTGGCCCCTAAATAGTACATATAAACGAGGGTCCAACATTTTTTAAAATTAAATTAAAAATTAATTAATACTTAAATTAAATTTCTAAAAAAGTTAATAATATATGCCTGTTTATTGTATATATTGATTTTTTAGTATGTACAAGGTTAATTAAAAAAGTAAATGGACGTACACTACCGTCGGGAATTACCGGTACGGCTGCACGCGCACGGCCCAAAAACAGGTCAATCTTGAAAACACAATTTTTTTGTAAATACACTGAGAAAACTATTTATTTGATTGAAAAATTTTTTGTTTAAATCAAACTTAAAATATCTTTGCTATACAGTCAAACAAATTTAAGTTTAATTCAAACATATTTTTTGGTTCATTTATAGAAATAATATATTCAATTGAAACATAATTTATGGTTGATTTTAAATTATTTCTAATCAACATTTAACTTTAGATCAAACATAACATTTTTAAACATATTTTTTTTTTAACCAAAACAGAAAATATATTTGAATTAAACACAATTATTCAAACAAATATTATTTTTGAATCAAAGCAGTAGATATTTTCTATATATGTATATTGGGATCTCACGAACCGAATAAGATTTTTAAATTCTTTTGGTCTTAAGTTAAAGATAAAACTTAAATCTAAGTAAATTTCAAATTTTTTCTACAATTTTTAAAAAATATGCCAATGTTGAAAAAACTTCAAAAAAACATTTTTTTTTGTAAATTTTTTTGAAAAGTTAACTAAAATATCAATATTTACAATAAACAGGCATATATTATCAACTGTTTAGAAATTTAATTTAAGTATTAATTAATTTTTAATTTAATTTTAAAAAATGTTGGCCCCTCGTTTATGTGTAGGTACTATTTAGGGGCCAAAAATTGGTTTTTTATTTTTTAAAGTATGAAGTACCCTTTCAATCATCTTGCAAAAATATATGTTACTTTTGAAATGACTATTATCTTATGTAAAAAAAATGGCGGTGGTGCAAAAAAAATTTCAATAAAAAAAATGTTTTTTTAAAAAAATTAAAAAAAATTTTTTTTTACTGACTTTATACTGACTTTTTTTGTTTGAATTTGGTCGACAATTTTTTTTTATCAACTGTTTATATTGTATTGTACAAAAAAAATTGTTTCATGAAAATCGGTTTAGCCATTTTGGAGGGAAAAAAAATTTTTGAATTTTTTTGAATTGTTCAAAAAAATTGTATAACTCAAAAGCAAAATTTTTTTTCGAGTTGAAACTTGGTGAAAATAAGTCTCATAATAGGTCAAAATTATTCTCTAAATATGGACCCAATCCAAGAGGGGGCACTTTTTACATGCTTATACTGCTACGGCCTTTATAAACAAAAAAGTTATTAAAGTTTTTAATAAAAAAAGTCCGATTTTTTTCAAATTTTTGTTTAATTTTCAATTTTTTCTACTACAAAATAGCAGAAAACTAATTTCAAATTATACAAATAACGTGACAAAAATATATAAGCTACAAGATAGGACTATAGAGAAAATTAAAAATTAAAATGGCGGCTAAAAAATGGAGTCTGAAGTTCAAATTTTTTTGCAAAATTTCACCCGAAAGTACGAAATAGTTAAAAGTGTTTAGATTAGCTTAAAACTTGTTACTCGGGGGTTTTAGGGGTCGCTGATCACGAATATGAAGTCCAATTTTCAAAATTCAAAATGGCGGGTCCAATATGGCGGACATTTTTTTCAAAATTGATCAAATTCGATTGAAATTGGTAACTTGAGGGTTGTTAGGGTCACTGATTACGAATCTAAAGTCCAATTTTCAAAATTCAAAATGGCGGACAATTTTTTCAAAATTGATCAAATTCGCTTGAAACTGTATACTCGGGGATTTTCAGGATCGCTGATTACGAATCTGAAATCAATTTTTCAAAATTAAAAATGACTGATTCAATATGACAGAAAAATTTTCAAAATAAATCGAATTATTTTTTTATTTTGTCTCCTGCCATAGTGGATCAGCTATTCAGTTTCAAGCCATTATAATTAATTTTTTATTTTGTCCTCTGCCATATATTGGATCCGCCATTTTAACTTTTAAAAAACTAATGTCAGATTCGTAGTCAGTGACCCTAAGAACCCACAAGTTACCAATTTCAATCGAATTCGATCAATTTTGAAAAAATTGTCCGCCATATTAGATCCGCCATTTTGAATTTTGAAAATTGGACTTTAGATTCGTGATCAGCGACTCCTAAAACCCCCGAGTAACAAGTTTTAAGCTAATCTAAACACTTTTAACAATTTCGTACTTTCGGGTGAAATTTTGCAAAAAAATTTGAACTTCAGACTCCATTTTTGAGCCGCTATTTTAATTTTTAATTTTCTCTGTAGTCCTATCTTGTAGCTTATATATTTTTGTCACATTATTTGTATCATTTGAAATTATTTTTCTGCTATTTCGTAGTAGAAAAAATTGAAAATTAAACAAAAATTTGAAAAAAATCGGACTTTTTACTAATAAATAAAAATTAGTTAAAAGAAAATAAAATAAAATCACTAATTTATGTAGACATAATAAACTTACCAACTGAGCTAATTTTGCCTTAAAGTCTGGAGGATAATTTTCGTTATCAAGATTTTCTTGTTTAACCGAAGCAAGAGATTCGCCAGGAGTTTTTACAAAAGTTTTATTGCCTCTTCTACCCGGAGGTTTGCTCACTGAAGCGGAAGTTGTGGCGATTTCCTCTTCCAATGTCACCAGCGATGATTCAGCTCCGGTATACGGTCTCCTGTGCAATGACCACCCAGGATTTCCTCTCGCCTGCGACTCTTGTGGATTCGTTGTTACTCTCTGCGGAACTTCTGTGGTTGTTATTGTTCCTACAGTTGATACCGTCGAAGGATCAGGTAATGGTCTTCTGCCCCTGAATCCAAGGCCATGATTGTAAAAGTCCTCCTTGGAGGCTGTTCGCCTCGAAGTACCAGTTCGCGTCCTCGATCTCGTTGTTCCTTCACTTTCTCTCCTAGAAGCTCTTGAGGAGGTCGTTGTTGACAAGACCCTATTGCTCGGAGCACCTGTGGTTGCTGATTTCGAGCTTGCTGTCTGAACATTGGCAGTTAACCCGGAATCGGAATCAGATCTTCCAGAGGAAGCTGTAATTTCTGGAAAAACTGTCACTATGTCCTGTGATAATGTTGTTTGTTCAACCCTCGGTCTGGTTCTAGATCGCTTTCTTGAATCAACTTCCTGGGTTCTTGATCTCGAATCTCGACCTCCATTCCTTCTCTCGAGAACTGCACTAGTAGTGCTTGGGGTTTTTGAATCTCGAGAATTTGCTTGTGCATCCTGTGAAGTAAATCTTCCCCTGGATCTAGAATCTGCATCACTAATTCTGGATTTTATTTCCGAACTTCTCAGTTTGATGGTATCAACCTCGTCTTTGGAGAATCTATACTCATTTCGTCTATTAAAATCCGTTTGTTCGGTTCCTAATTGTTCTGATGACCTTGAAGAGCCTCTTCTTGAATTACTTTTATTGGATTCGTCAGTTCGGATATTTTCTGCAAAAGACGTTTTTCCCCTTGAACGAGATCCTCTATCTGATTTCCTAAAATCAGTCTCTTCTGAAATGGTAGACGGAGTCGATGGTGCTGATCTGCGAGTGACCTCGAGAATCGCAGGAACGTTAATATTTTCCGATTCAGCCGGTAATGGATCCCGTTTTGTAAGATCGTGAGTTTTTCTCGTAGCATTTTTGGTTCTAGAATCACTTTTAATTTCAGATTTCAAATCATCAATATGATCATCACTTCTTCTCGATGCAAATCTTTTGGAAGCCGAAATTTCACTTCTTAATTCGCGTTGAGTAAAAGCAGTTTGAATTTTTCTTCCGGTTCTTGATCTGGTTTCATTCGAGTTGCCTGGTGCGGAAAAAACTGACGGGCCATTTTTATCTAAAAAAGCTTTTTTCACTTGATCTGATGGGACGCTTCGACTCGATTGACGAGATACTTTTTGAAATTTTGCAGCTTCTGGTGCTTCTTGTCTTGAACCGGTTGATTGTCTTCCACCTTTTTTATTGAAAATCGCTTTTGGAGTTGTACTAATTAAATCAATTGAGGAAGATGTACTTCGGTTTTTATCAATGGATTTCTTGGGATCGAATTTTCGATTTCTGGAATTTGATTCAACTTTTGTGGATTTTAATGTCCTTTCCGGCACAATGGAAGAAGTGGGAAATCCATTGGCTTTTTGATTCGATACTCCTCGTCTGTTTGATGGTTTTCGAATGGAAATTGGATCAAGAGTGGTTTCAATTGTTTTCGCAGTTTGAGTATTGAATCTCGAACTCCCCCGGCTCCTTGGTGCTGGTAGCCTCGGTTCGTCGACCTATAAAATACAAAGCAAAAAATGTATGACATTAAAATTAATAATCTTATTTAACTATAAATATACATTTATTAATAAATACATTCAAGAACGTTAACTAACAAATAAAAATTTTATTTTTAATTCACTTATGGATGACAAAATGAAATGAATATAATCTATTATTATTTAATACAAAAAATAAAAATAGTCAAATAACGTAAATTTTACACACTAAAAAAAAAGTTTTACTTTCAGCCTGTTTTCGAGGCTGAATTTAAGGTGTAAACGGAGTCAGCCTCATTAAACAAGGACAGACTTATGTGAAATACATGGGCTGAATTTAAGGTGTAAACGGAGTCAGACTTTTTTTTTCCTGTGTAGATTTTAAATCTAAACCGAAAAGAAAGTAACTATTTTAAATTCGATTTCGTTTCTCGCCTTCTCGGTGAATGTCGATGAATGAATTAGTGAAATAAATAAGTAAATGAATGGAGGAAATAAGAACGTCCGCTTTCATGGCTGAACCTGAAAGTAAAGCGACATATATTTGACCCTTGCCTTTTTATGTCTTTGCGTCTTCCGTTGCCAGTAAATTTCGATGAGATACATTTTTCAATTTCAAAGGATAAATTGTCCAGGTAATCTGATTACTTGCCAAGGTAATCTAGATATTATAGGACATTAACAGAGCCCAAATAAATTGATACCATTCTCCCCACATTAACCGGTTTACCTTTTCCTTTTTACTTTCATACGAAGCAATATAAGTATCGTTTTCCTCAATTTGACCACAACACTAGACATTGCTAATGTGTCTCAACATTCATTTCTTAATAATTAATTACCTTATCATATATAAACAACTAATTCAATTTTTATCATCAAATTTTACCTGAAATAACTGAAACATCCACAAAAAAAGCTATACATATATTGATACTTTTGCATTGGCTTTCTTAAAAATGTTACATCTTAATGTAAGACTTCCTTTCTACCTCAGAATAAGACTTGAATATGAGTTAATTAAAATGCAAATTAAAACTTTAAATTTAAAGGAAGGTTCCTTAATGAACAATTTCAATCGAAATATAACCATTTAGATGATGGATATATATCAATATTATGATGAAAGTGCATTTTTAAAAAACAAATGGTTCAACTGATTTAATCTCTACTACCTGGGTAATTTTTTACTTCTCCTTCCTCTCCTGTCATAATAATGAGAAATTTAAATTATTATTTTTTTCTAAAAAAACAAGAAATTACATAATTTAAAGCAGTTCAAAGCTTAAAAAAAAATAACATGAATTTAAGTTGCTATTGCAACTGGAATTACTTGGTTGAATAAGAAATTAAATAAAAGCAGGAAGAAAACGTCTTTGTGTCAAAAAGGACGTACATTGAAGAGATTGTAAGTAACGACTATCTTGAGAGTCTTGATGAAGACCTTCGATTTAAAGCAGACATAAAACTGAAACAAGTTGAAATATCAAGAAAGTCCATCTGGTTAAAAAATATTGCAGATATAAATTCATGTAACAGGACACAGGCACTTATATACGTCACAATATTGACCACACCCAGCAAGAGAAAAATACATTTTTTCAAAGATCTCATAAAGGCTTTTGAAAATATTATCGCAAGTATTGTTTGCATATTTTTTTACAAAAAAACATTTATATTTCAAATGAAGACCAATCGAATACACAAACTTTTTACATTCTCATCAAAAATGAGAAAGTCTTGGATTTGTGCGATTTTGAGCAATGTCTAATTTTGCTAAATCTTTACGTTTCATGACCCCCTGATTCCAAAAAAATGGTTTTTAGAAAAGTGTCTGTCTGTCGTCTGTCTGTAGAAAAATTTGTCGCCACGATAACTCGAATAAATTTTTATGAATCGTCTTGCAATTTGGCACACTTTTTCAGTCCATAAAAATGAAGCCTGAGTTCGTTGGGTAGTCCATTTCGTCGAAAAACAACAAAAATACAAAATTTTGAAATTTTCAAAATTTTGTATTTTTTTCAATTTTTAAAAAAATATTTTTTTAAAATTTTTTCCTTAAATTTGGTACAAAAACAAACAACTTTTCCTTTAGACACTTTTCAATACAACAAAAAACAAAAAAGTTGTGAATTTTTTTTTTTTTTTTTTATAAGTTTTTGGGCCTTACGCAGCTAAACGGGTCACCAACTTCTAAAAAATTTTCTAGCCAGAAATTCTTCACAGTATTAAAGTAAAGGCTTAAGCAGAATAGAATCTTTAATCATAACAGTAAAGGCCTAAGCACAATAGTTTCGCGAAAGTCGTTCGCGAACGCAAAGCATGAGTTAAAAAAGGACAGAGATATATTTGTGTCTTTTTCTATCTCATGCGTCTCGTTCGCGAACCTATTGTGCGTTGGACTTAATCGTGAGCATAGGAGTGTGTTTGGGAAGGATAGTTATATTGTTTATCCTTCTCTAACTTATAATTACGCTCACATTTATTATTGCGGGTCTGATTAAAAGTTTTCTTTAATATATAGCTTTCTATATATATATATATATATATGTTACGGTCAATGTCGATTATTGGGCATTGTCGACAATGCCCAGTGATTTTGGGCATTGTCGACATTGCCCGTCAATTTCGGTCAATGTTTGAAAATTTTCAAGATATTCAGCTTTTCCGGGCAATGTCGACATTGCCCGATCTATCTTGGGCAATGTTAAAAATGCTGTCGATGAAGTAGTCATGATATAAACAAAGTTAATATTATATCCTTCGCATTCAACTTTCAATACTTAATCACTTTATTTTGTATAAAAGAAAATAATATTGATTAGTTTGCAATCAACTATCAGAAGGTATCGATGGATTGGCCCAATGCTATAGATATTGTCCAATTTCGTAAAAATCGTTCATTTCATGCAGGTAAGAAAATAAATAATAAGTAATCTAATTTTGAAATAATTTTCATTTAAATTAAATTAAATAATTATTAATATTAATTAATTTATTATTTAAATTACATAAATAAAATTATATAAATAAATTAAATTCAAATTAATTAAATTTACATTAATTAATTAATTATTTAAATTACACACTTAAAGTTATATAAATTTTGTCAAATTGAATAATTTAATTTTGAAATATGTAAATCTTGCTTTTAATTGTTGAGATTTGATTTCTAATAGCATTTAATAAATATTGATAATAATTGAATATTTTTATTGGCAATCTCTGAAAACCTCAATGTTACTTTGTGTTTAGGAATAGGTCGTTCATCTTTCGAGGCTATGTTCGGTTGTTCCGCACAAGTCGGCCTTTTATCAATTGGCATACCACATTCAGAAATTAATAATATTAATAATACAGAGGAAGATATCGACAGGATTTTTAAAGAAAACGCGGAAAAAAACAGCAGTTTGTCCTGCAAGAACAAATAAAAATATTATTATTAACACGAGAAGAAAAAAATTGGCATTATTGAACAACATTGCCCAAACATGAGTGGACAATGTCGACATTGCCCGGTCATTTTCGACACTGCCCGGGCAATAACACATTTCTTTGACTTCTATTAAAAACACTCGGGCTATGTCGACAATGTCCACTCATTTTGGGCAATGTCGAGATTGACCGGGCTATGTCGACAATGCCCAGTGATTTTGGGCATTGTCAACATTGACCGGGCATTGTCGACATTGCCCAATAATCGACATTGACCGTAACATATATGTAATTTAAATGAATTCTCCAAAATAATTTTAGTAAAATTAACACTTTACCCGTCACAGGAACTTGAAAATATGCTAAAACGTATGTTTTTGTGGTTAGGAACGTTTGTAGTGTTTAAACGTCTCCGAGTATAAAACCGTTGAGAAGAAAAATGTCCCCCAAATAGAAAAACTGTATCTGTACAGAAGACCTTTACATGAATTCATGTAAGGGTACGGTCCCATGTTGAGCAGAAAACACAATGCAAAGCAGAATTTCGTGAGAGTGGAAAGGATAGTGATATCTGACTATCTTGCACTCACTTGCACTCACGAAATTCTGCTTTGCATTCTGTTTTCTGCTCAGCATGGGACTGCACCCTAAGGGTGCGATTCCATGTGAGCAGAATACGTCGACCGAAAGCAGAAAATCATGAGGGTGAAAAGAACAACAATATCTACCTATCTTTTTTGCACTCATGATTTTCTGCTTTCGGTCGACGTATTCTGCTAACATGGGATCGCACCCTATAGGTCTGTACAACTACAACTTAAATTAAAGGAGCTAAAATTTCTAAGAGATCTCTTCAACCTATTTTTAAAATGTGTAATTGTTTATATATTTTTTTGTTACTTAATAAATTAATAATTTACAGTATTTTTGAAATACAGAAATACAGAAAGAAAAACAATAATTATTATTCAAAATTACTGATCTTCAAGTAATAAATTATTTATAAAATTATTAATAAAATTATTTATTTTAATTCTATTCCACTTACTGATAAATGTTGCAAGTATTGTTTTAATATTTGTGTACGGAACCCGCCATTGCAGTGCAAGTACAACTCGCACTTGTCCAATTTTTTTTTAAATTTTATTTTTAAATTTTTGTAAAAAATTTTAAAAAAATCTAAAACAAAAAGTTTTTTAAATTTTTTTTTAGATTTTTAAATATATTTTTTGTGATCAGACTATAAAAATATGCTAATAAACCCATTTTTAGTTAATTAGATCAAATAATGTAGAAATTAGAAAAAAAAATTTTCAAAAATTTTTGTAGTTTTTTCTTGACAACGCTATAGTTATTATTACATAGCAAGTTCTCTATATTTTTCCTGTAATATTCAGGTTAAAATACACCCGAATGGAGGGAATGGTCACTTTTTATGCATTTTTGGCCAAAAATCTTGTTATTTCCTTGACGACGCTATGGCCATCACCTCCAATCACATTCTTTATATTTTTCCTGTAATCTACGTGTGAAAATACGTATCTGTACCAAATTTCAGCTCTCTAGGTCAAATAGTTTAG